CGATATAAGAGTAGGCCATTGTACCACTGGCCGGGTAAAATTTCCCTCATAGCACACTGCGGATGGCGTATGCCCGTCTTCATTAGCCCATTATCATTAGCTTCATTATCAAAAATCATTGAAAATTAATAGGCTTCTTCTTCTCTTGACCATAACACTGTGTATAAATAGACTTCTTCTTCTCTTGACCATAACACTGTGTATAAATAGACTTCTTCTTCTCTTGACCATAACACTGTGTATAAATAGCCTTCTTCTCTTGACCATAACACTGTATTTTTTCATGCGTTCCAAGGTGTGCCATTGGCAAAACAAGGCTGAGAACCACTGCTTTAGGGCGTACACAAGCAATTGTGGATGACAGACAAGACGGTGGGGAAGACAATAAAAAACACATTTCAACGTGGATACATAGAAATCAACACAAGTAAATACAAAGTCTTTATTTTCAGCCAAGTCAAATATTATTTGTACAAGTCAAGAAGGTACATGTAGCTATGGGTCTATATCCCTAATACTGCTCTTTTGATATGGAAGACAAGATGGGACAATATATTCATGATTTAATTGTGTTTCTACATTCCAGTTTCAACATTTTATATACAAAAGCAATATTTAAACTCATGATTGTTGTTTTTCTACATTTTTATGTTGACATTTCATGCACCAAATCAACATTTTAAACAAAATATTCCCTTTTATTTCAATTTCGGCGTAATATTTATATCATTAAATATTAAAATTAAAAAAGAATTTATTGATTTTTCTTTACAAAGAAGTAAATTGATTGGTTTCTGAAGGTATCTAAAAAATGTTTCAAAAAATCTTAAAGTTTAAATGTTAGTACTACAACGCCCTTTCATGTAATAATATTAGTAATAAATGTAGAAAATATTTTCATATGAGTTCAAACAGGTGTTTTCGGCCATCCCCCCCCCCCCCCTACTTAATAATTGAAGTATCTGTTGCAAATTGGTATATAACAGGTTTAGATACTGGTATAATTAAGGGATGATTATTGTTGTAAATACATGTAATGACCATTAGTAATAGTAGAGTATATTTATTAAATACCAAACTATAAATCACCGGTCATGTTAAACTGTCTAGTTATACATGTACTATAAATCCTGACTGTAACATGTATACAAGATGTCAAGTGTAACAGGATTCCTGTGTAACTAATAATAATATATAGCTCTAGTAACTTACTAAATTAAAATCAGTTTCAACCTCTAACCACTAAATCTCCTTGATTTGGGTCAAAGTAAAACTATTGGGTTGATCAGATGTGGTATGTTTTTCAGGCATAAGACTAAGAGTAATAAGACAATTTTATTTTTTTTTGTTATAAACAATATTTTTTATTCAGATTTGTATCTGAATATAGGGATTGGGGAACAGGTATATAGCCTATATTAAACCTGTCTCCCTGTTTAATTCAATTTCTGTTTTGAAAGATTAAGCACAATTCGCACTTTTGTTTTTACTAATTTGGGTCTTTTGTGTCAACACATGATCAGTTGTATCTCAACATTAGCTTAACTCGTACATGTGGACGTAAACTATTGTCCAAGACTGTTATCCTGCACAAAAAAACAAATTAACATTTTGTTTTTGAAATCAGATCAAAATGTCTGCAAATTTAAATATAGTTATGTTATCACTCATATTAAGAAAATTAATTTAAAGAGCACATCAAGTGAACAAACAAAATTTCCTGTACTTATAATCAGTGGTCATATATATATATATATAAATACTTTATGACAAATTCACAGCAATCTGATTAAAATTATTCGACATATTACCGTTTTTGTATCAGGCACTCAGAAACACTGTTCAATCTTTCATTTACAGCCTTAATCAGATTGATTGGCCGGTGCCTCACAGGAACCACACAGACAATATACACTATTAAGGTCTTATCACTCCATAAACATCACCAGTTGACTAGTGTGTATTGACGGTTTAATTAAACATGCATTATGCTAGGGTGACCCATGTACTCACAGAAATACAGTCCACCGCTGATAGTTCGAGACTACCACTGAAGCGTGCACATTCGCCGTGCCGAGACCAACTTTCTGACAGTATGATACTATAAATAGCCATGGCACGTGCAATTCTCTACAAATCTATCAACTATTACAGCCGTAAAAAATTTATTGTTGACGATTTTGAATAGCAGTAAAATTAAGCTTCTTGGTTATTACAGCAGATTTAGAAATTACGTTCGTTTCATTTTTTAAATCGCTTTATCATTAACTGTACCGTTAAGAGCGGCATCTTTTGGTTTAGTACAAATAATATCTCTGAATCACTCGGGTTAGACAGGAACATGAAACTAGCAATAGTTTCATTTTACTTTTACAAGCTTCTTAAAACGATTGTTGAGTTGTCTAAAGTGCTTATTTCTAAATTCAATTTCTTGTTCTAGCTTTCTGTTATGTTTCGTAAAAAAGTAGTCTTGATTATCCCGACCTGTCAATCAGACGTAGAATGGTCGATAGACTGGTTAAGCGAGACTACATGTAATTTCAAAACAAGGGCACGTAACCTATCTTTTACTCAAAAGTGTCTGGATGTTATGGACGACTCTTGGAACCAGTTTTCAGTCTATTATTTCTACATGATTAATGGTCATAGCTTATTAAGTACAACATGATCGTTTATTTAGTGACTATAATTGTGTGAAACTGATTTGAGGCTTGGCATATATATAAATATTGTGGCGTAATTGTCGAGATATATGGAGATATTTATTTATGGTGGGTCACCCTAATTATGCAAGAGGTAAATCTGCCTATTGCAGGTCTTTCTTTAGGCCTGAAATGTTTTCTAAAGTATTAATTAGACATTAATTAACTGATCCAGGCCATAATCAACTCTCAATGGCATCAGATTTCTCCGATATTAACTAGATTAGAATGGTTCAGCGATACTTTGATTTAATCAAATATGGAGGACCGAGACTTAGCTTCGATCAACCAGTACGGTGGTTGAAATTATTGCACACGTCTGTCAAACCTTCAAAGGCTAATATCTTCGCTTGCAATAGAGTAATTTGAATGAAATTTTCAAATTATTCATTTTACATTATCTACTTTCGAACTATTATAGCAAGAATGGCTAGTTCTTTATCTAAATCTTACATAATGTATCTTTAAGATACCTACTGACCTAATCATTACTTCATTATAATTATCTACATGTACGCTACAAATCACTATTATTCAATGCATTTTTAAGAGCTGACCTTCTAGTCTTGAATTGTCATAGATTACATACTTTATCATCTTTGTGTTGTTGAGAATTGTGGAAATTCCAGCAAAGAAAAGGGACATAATTTGCATCGGTTCTCTTCTATCAAAAGTAAATACATTCTGGGTCACTTGATGTGCTCTTTAAATTAATTTTGATAACAATATTTAAATTTGCTAGACATTTTGATCTGATTTCAAAAATAAAATGTTAATTTAAGAGACAATTTGATGTTGTCCTTGACTGTATGGTACAAATGTCTGTAAATGTAGAAATAGACATCAAAATGAAAAAGGTTACCAACCAAATCTGTTGAGCGTTATCACTAGATATGAAAACATCCTTTGGGTACATTAAGTTCAAACTTACTCAATGATATGAAATACAATATTCTCTATTTGGATGATTCAAAGTAAATAAATGTGTGAAAGAAAAGCTCCAATGATTGAATTAAGATCAGAGATCTAGAAAGTTATCTATCATTTCATTATTGACAAAACCTATATGACTCGATTTACAGTCAATATTGAAATGTTTGATTTATTAACATCTATTATTCACTTGTCAGCTAACCTCACATTATGTCAAAAATGACGTTGATATGTGCATATTTTGATCACAGTAGTCTGTGGTCCGCTGTCACAAAGAATACAGCAAATAAGCAAAATTTGGTGTTTGTCATTTGGTGTTTGTTTTAACATATTATAGCCTACCTTAAAAAGAAAACAACCTCCTACACATGCACCAAATGTGGCACATTGGATGAAATGAAATGAAATGAAATGGGGAATAATGTCCTACTGTTCTGCTCCGACTGGGCTAATAAAGACAGGCATACGTCATACATTGTGCTATGAGGGAAATTTGGCCTCCTCTTATACATGTATATCGAATTCCAACTGCCAAGGGATCTTTTATGTGCACGCCAATGTATACACAGGACCTCAGTTTTTTTATACCATCCAAACAACTAGACAGCAGTCCTTGTCAGGCCTCCATCCTGCACCACTGACAAGAGGAAACCCTGTTGGAAAATCCTGATGAACTTTCTCGGCCAATGCAGGGATCGAACACCCGTCCTACCCACTTAGCCACCATGGCTCCCCCACATTGGATGAATTAAAGTCACACATTGCATTCCTGTGAAAATGATAAAACTAGGCAGTAAGCCTACTCGTGATTGTAACAGATTTTATTATTTCGTGTACATCTTTTTTTATAAGGCCCTTTTTTTTTCAGTTTGTAGAACCTTGTAAACCTTCAAACTGCGAACTATTTCAAATTGTCTTGTAAATGCCCTCCCCCTGCCCCCATTACCTACAAAAAAAAAGAAGCAACAATCCTTGTTGACAACTCGGACGATTTAGCTGCTATGGGTGTATGTTTCATTGCCTGGCAACCTATCTTAACAAATGTTACCTTTCCTTCATATTAATCTGTTTTCAGTGAAATCTTTAAGGAATTAATCTGACAAATGCTAAGTATGTCTATTATTTTTACAAGAAGTAGACGTGGGTACAAGAGTTGTATCACTCATCTGAACAATTTCACGCATGGTATAAAGGTTGGTCAACCCTCATCTAAAAGGACAAAACTGAAAAAGTTGGCTCTGTCCTATAATCAATGAAATGAAAGTTTTAAAAGTTGATCCAGTAATTTATAAGATAATGACTTGAGTAAGTAAGCTGTGTTTAAATTGGGGAAATTCTAATAATTTATAAATACAATATTTGTAGGGTCCAGGTGCTGATATTGCACATGGTGAAACTAGATTGGTTGATTGGCATGATTATAAAGCTATAGCTAAAGAAGAACAAAGAACAGGTAAGATGATTGATACACCTGTTTGTGAACAACAGGTGTTTTTATGGTAGATGTTATATTAAAACGTGGCACATGTACAGTATCTGTATAAACTATACAACATAGATATACTTTGAGAGCCTAATCAATTCTTCATATACACATGTAGTGCCCAATATCTCCTTAATCATTAAAACATATTATTTCCTTGGCTTGATGGAATAAACACACAGGCCTTCAATCACTACACATCTTCAATTCAACGGGAGCAGTGTGAGGAGGATGGCCGAATGGTTAGCGTGCTGCATCATAAGGTCTGTCATTGGATCAACTGGCGTGGATTTGATTGCCTGGTTGTAGATGCCAGAGGTGTTGGGTCGCCTGCCCAACCTCTGGTTACCTCTCACTGCTAAAGACACCTACGCTAGCAAATTATTGAAATAAAATTGAACCATATGTTAGTCCTGAAATGACTTAGTTTGTGAGGTGCACGGAACTGTGGGTAACTAGAAACATCAACGCTGATTGGTTAATCAAATGTCTGACGTCATAGGGTCAAAAGCTGCTCGTATGACATCTGACACGACCTTCCACTACAACAGGTCAGATCTTCATGTAGTAGAGGCCATCAAAAGGATAAAAAGAATGAAACAAAATATAGATGTGTATTATAATCAGATGGATCCTATCACAGATATCTGGGACTATGTCACATAATTTAAAACAAATTTCTTCGTATTGATAACGTTTTAATGTTTTTTCTTTCAAAACCATAGAGAGCTTAGCTATATAGAAATGAAATGGGGTTTAATGTCCTACTGCTCCGCTCGGACTCGTCTAATGAAGACGGCTTAGCTATATATGTACATGTATCTGTATAAACAGTATGCCCAATAGATCCTCTCCATTCTCAAGAGATCGGTATGGTTCAGTTGTCTTTAACAAACTATTTAGTATACAGATGGGGAGCGATACAGGTCATTAGGTAGATCGTTGGATATTTCACTCATTTGGGACCTTTTCTTTGATATCAGACCCCAAAATATAACTCCAGTACATTATGGAGGGCTATGAAAAATGTCAATTAGAAAAATCTTATATTTCATAATAGAAGATCTAGTAAAATTATCTTTAACAACAATTGTGTAACTTTCATATCACCCTGATTAATACCCTAGAGCTTGAACACTATACTTTAATAATAATAATCTCTAATTCTTTCATCTTCAGGCTCTTGATTTATCAGTGATATAATAGATATCATGTCAGATAATAAAATAATCTTCTTTGTCATTTTTATATGCCCACACTATTTTGTTTTTGCCCATATTCGTCTGCATGTCAGGGTGTCTATTCACATTTATTTTTGTGGACACTCCAAGTCTGAAGGTCACAATGTTTATCAAATTTTGATGAAACTTTAAACATGTTTATATCCCAGATTTCTTAAAAGGTTTGATTTTAGTACATATCATCGAATCGTAACTGCTTACTGCTTGGATTATTTCCCTTGATTGTACAAAAATCACCTACAAAGCTTGTGAGCTCTCTGGAGGTCAAAATACACTATGAGTGGAAAGTGGGCTTTTACTAACCATTAAAATTGTCCCCCCCCCCCCTTTAATCAAATAATGACAAAGCACGTAATTGTAATATATACACCAAGGCTGTGGACCCACAATTTTTTTCCGATTTAGAATGGATAAAACTAAAAATGTAGGTTAAGCCTCAATCCCATTTTCCATGTACGTGGTTTTCATGCGCAATTTTGCTGGTTACATGGAAATTGTCCAATTTTATTTGCATTAAACCGACTTTTTCTCCAGCGGAAACGGCGCAAAAGGTTGTACATGGGAAACAATAACTTGTTTAACATCATTTTATCTTCCTGTTGACTAAATTAGTAGCCTATTGTAAACTTTCTTGATAAAACCTTTAACAACCAGTTTCTAACATTGTCTTTGATCTATTCATTATTCAACATATTTTAAAAATGATGCATCTGTATGTAGTAATTGTTGATGAATTAGAATACATTGTTCAAGGTTTGCACACTCTTAAAACTCCTTGAAAATCCTGGAAAAATGAAAATGTGATTTCCAATACTGGAAAATCCTGAAAAAACAAAATTACTCCTTAAAACTCCTGGAAAATTAACATTTGTGGTTTTGCTAATATATAAAACTGAACGTAGTCATCAAATGTTTCTTCAAAAGTTCACAAGTTCGTCGCCGTAAATGTACTCGTCTTCGGTATTTTATTTCTAAAAGCCATAGTAAACCTATAGTAAAATGTTAACCAATCAGACTATATCTAGGTCAACCCATTTACCAATCAACTGTTCCGATTTTAAAATATTCATAGTTTGGGTATTACATCATGATGTAGAATTCTATACAGGGTCTCCTGGAATCTGGTAAATAACTCCACACCCTGTGTTGATTCCATTATTAAAATATTATTAAACTGCTTCAGAGAGAATCCATCTTTATGCCAAAGATATGATGTTTGGTATCGACTTGAAAATGGCTGGGGGGTTGGATGGCCAAATAGTTAGCGTGTGCATGTTGTATCATAAGGTCTGTCATTGAGTCAACTGGCATGGTTTTGATTCCCCGGTTGTACGTGACAAGGAATAGGGATGCCTGTCCAACCTCGTGGGTTTTCTCCGGGTCCTCTTGTTTCCTCCCACTGCTAAAGACCCTTATGCGCGAGCGGATTATTGAAAAAAAATTGGACCATATGATAGTCCTGAAATGACCTAATTTGTGTGGAGTGGACATTAAACCCTCTTTCTCTCTCTCTCTCTCTCTCTCTCTCTCTCTCTCTCTGAACATAGTTGAACAAGTAAGTCACAATATATTATTGTTTTACAGGACCAGGTGAACAAGGCAGTGCTGTTATTTTATCAGCTGAAGAAGAAAAGAAGAAAGGAGATTTATATAAAGTTAACGGTTTTAATGCCTATACTAGTGATAAAATATCATTACAAAGAGCTTTAAAAGATATTCGTCATCCACAGTAAGAGATCTTCCTTTAGTTTCTCAAACAATCAATATTTGTATACTCCCTGTACCGTATAATGACACCTACCATATACTAACATGGTAGGGGCCATTGGACAATTGTGCTTGGTGAACAAATATACAAACACACACCCAATAACAACTTATTAATCAAATTAATAAATTTACATAATTGTTGAAAATTTGGGCCAATTAATATTTTTTTATGAATGTCACATTGTGCAAAATCTCTAGGTGTCAAAAAATAAGTATAAAATTCTAGAAGTGGAAGACCGGCACACGTCTTAATTATTGGAAATCGTTTAATTTGTATGTGGTTAACATCTGCCAATGTTTGTAGGCGTTTTTACTTTTTTACTTGGGCTATATTTATCCTGCTATAATACACTGTAAACCGGGTATTATTTAATCTTGTGTATTTAGCACTAATTTCTTTCACATTCATTCAATATCAAACATTTTTACAAATTTTTAAACAAAGATTTGATATTAAATGAATGTGAAAGAAATTGGTGCTAGATACACAAGATTAAATGATACCCACTGATCTTATATGTGCTGATATGTGCTGAGCTTATTGAGTTCTTAAATTTCAGAGCAAATAAAGATGTTTTTTATTAATCAATCAAACATGATATTCTAAGTACAGTGGACTCCGTCACATCTGACATCTGAATACTTCAGCATTCTGTGAAATCCGTCATTTTCATATTCCGATTTCTTTCCTTATTACTTCAACCAAAAAAGTTTTGAGTAGTCCGGATTCTGAATATTCCGAATTCCGACATCAATCAGGGGTCCCTTCACACGATTTTCATTCAATTAACATTGCATAATCCGCCCTTCAATTAGTGGGTGTTAACCGACAAGCAATCACCAATCAATTAGCTGCGAACATAAAAGATGTGTCAGTCTTTGTTGATTACATCGATAATTTGATAATCTCTTGTAAGTGTGACCGTACCGATTTGACATTATAGCCGATTTTCCCCGACCTACACAGAAAGAATTAGCCATCAAGTATTCAATTGGCCATACTACAGTATCCAACATTTTAAAGCAAAAATATGAATTCAAACAGAAGTTTTCCAATAACTTTAACAGCTGTAAGAAACGATTTTACTTGAACGCTAAGTTTGAAGACATCAACAGAATGATGCACGAGTGGTTCAATGGCATGGACAAAGGTACAATAATACCGTACTTCCAGTATTTAGGGAATTGAGTATTCCATCATGCTGTATAATCGGACATATTGTATCGATCCTGTACGATGTCGGAATTGACGGAGTCCACTGTATATTTATTTCATCCTCTATAAAATGATTATTCTGTTAATTTTATTATAGGTGCAAAACGAAGAAATATTTAAATAAATTACCAACAGCTAGTGTTATTGTTCCATTTCATAATGAACATTGGTCAACTTTATTACGGACAGCTCAGAGTGTCATCGACAGATCTCCTAAACATCTATTGAAAGAAGTTATTTTAGTAGATGATTTTAGCTCAAAAGGTAAAAAAGTAATTTATGTGTAAGAGATTTATTATTGTCGTAAGAATGGAAAGGTGTTCATGTCTCCTCAACTCAATACTTTGGTTATTTTTTAGATGAACATAATATTGTTGTTTTATTTCTATGGTTATGTGGGCAGGGTAGGAGAATTTTGTCAATGGCATTTCTGCCTACTCTCGGTAGATTACCAGTTGTCATGGGTTCTTTTCAGGGACTAAAATAAGGTTATTAAACTTAAATTCTTATAGCACAGATTCTGTGGCTGCGGGGGTTCTATTTGGCCTCCGGAACAGTGCAACTGACCACAAGAGGAAACACTCATTAGGGGTTAATGCTGCTATCGCTGGCTGGTCAGCATTAACCAAATATTGTTATGTACATTGTCTTGTTATATTTCATATTTTATCATTTCTTGATAATGACTAGAGAAGCCTAGTCAAAATGTCGCTCAGTAATAAGCAGTAATTGTATTCCATAGAATTGTGACCTGTATATTACAGTTCAATTACTAAATACCATTGAAACAACTTAGAAAGTATAACTTATTTATTGCCTAAAAATACTAGTGCACAAGAAATAATTGAATCGTGAATATATTGTATTGATATTAACATGATATATAACTATAAATTATTACAGAACATTGTAAACAACCTTTAGATGATTATGTTAATGAACATTATACTAATGTACGAGTTGTTAGAGCCAAGAAGAGGGAAGGGTTAATACGAACCCGTCTACTAGGAGCTAGAGCTGCTAAAGGAGATGTAGTGATATTTCTTGATTCTCATTGTGAAGCTAACATCAACTGGTTACCACCTTTATTAGGTAAGATTTGGCACAAAATTTTAACATTTTAGTTCTGGAGACACTATGTTCTTGTTGGGAATTGAACCCACAACATTTTGCCTCAAGTCTTCTGGCATAGAATAGATACATACACATCTAACAAATAAATGCCAGAAATAAGAGGACCAAACACTTTGTTTAAAACTTTGTAAAAATCATTTAAAACTACCCAATTTGTACTTGTGTCCAGTTTAAAGCTGATTATTTGTGATAACGAGTGTCCAATTTACAAGTGTTTAATTTCTCAATCACTGTTAAAAATTAAACAATCCAATTTATTATTGATGTATAATGATTAATTTTTAACAGTGGTCAGGAAATTAATTAATAGTTTATATAACATTTCATGCCTAAAGAAAGACCTGCAATAGGCAGATTTAGCTCTTGCATAATGCATACTTAACATATCCAGACCATAATCAACTCACGATGCCATCGCTAGCCTGCTATATTTACTGGATTTAGATTTGACTAAAATTTTCACGATATTCTCTTTACATTATCTATTTTTGTCCCCCGCCTTTCGAAGAAAGCAGGGGACTATTAAAATGGGTTCGTCCGTCTGTCTGTCCGTCACACTTTTTGGGACACAATAACTCTCTTCCTAATTGAGCTAGAATGTTCAAACTTGGTGTATGTGTTTATTAGGTCAATGCCTTGATGGTGTTCGAAGATGAGCATTTTCCGCTTAGGGTAAGCAGAGATAAGCAATTTGATTGGTTGATGCTTTGGGACACGATAACTCTCTTCCTAATTGGGCTAGAATGTTCAAACTTGGTGTATGTGTTGATTAGGTCAATGCCTTGATGGAGTTCGAAGATGAGCATTTTCCGCTTAGGGTAAGCAGAGATAAGCAATTTGATTGGTTGATGCTTTGGGACACGATAACTTTTAATTGAGCTAGAATGTTCAAACTTGGTGTATGTGTTTATTAGGTCAATGCCTTGATGGAGTTCGAAGATGAGCATTTTCCGCTTAGGGTAAGCAGAGATAAGCAATTTGATTGGTTGATACTTTGGGGCACGATAACTCTCTTCCTAATTGAGCTAGAATGTTCAAACTTGGTGTATGTGTTGATTAGGTCAATGCCTTGATGGAGTTCGAAGATGAGCATTTTCCGCTTAGGGTAAGCAGAGATAAGCAATTTGATTGGTTGATGCTTTGGGACACGATAACTTTAGTTCTAATTAAGTGAGATTGATGAAACTTGGTGTATAGATTTATTATATGAATACCTTAACTAAGTTCGATAATGAACATTTTTTGCTGAGGGTAAGCAGAGTGATAAGCAATTTGATTGGTAGAAACTTTGGAACACAATAACTCTCCTTCTAATTGAGGTAGAATGTTCAAACTTGGCATAGGTGTCTATTAGGTGAATGTTTAAACTTGATGTATATGTAGATGTTCATTAGGTGAATGTCTTGACTGAGTTCAATAATTAACATTTCGAGCTGAAGCTAAGCAGAGCTAATCGATTTCATTTGTCGATGGTTTGGGACAAGATAATCTTGATTCCATCTGATAGAGAGTGATGAAACTTAGTGAAAAAAATAAATGTGCGATTAATTAATATGTGTCATCTATTTATTTTGCAATTTCGGCGGGGGACATCAGCCTCACTGTCAACTCTTTATCTAATCTCCCATAATTCATCTTAAATATAGGATCTTACTATAGTATGTATATGTATTTGTTGCTCGTATCAGCAGTGTTTTATCAATTTTGTCATAATATAAGCCCCACCTACTACAGACATAAATACAACAGCAATTTATGATGAAATATAACTTATATAAGTGTTATATACACCCCAGTGATGATTTATGATGAAATATAACTTATATAAGGGTTACATACACCCCAGTGTTGATTTATGATGAAATATAACTTATATAAGGGTTACATACACCCCAGTGTTGATTTATGATGAAATATAACTTATATAAGTGTTATATACACCCCAGTGATGATTTATGATGAAATATAACTTATATAAGGGTTACATACACCCCAGTGTTGATTTATGATGAAATATAAATTATATAAGGGTTACATACACCCCAGTGTTGATTTATGATGAAATATAACTTATATAAGTGTTATATACACCCCAGTGTTGATTTATGATGAAATATAACTTATATAAGGGTTACATACACCCCAGTGTTGATTTATGATGAAATATAACTTATATAAGGGTTACATACACCCCAGTGTTGATTTATGATGAACTATAACTTATATAAGTGTTATATACACCCCAGTGATGATTTATGATGAAATATAACTTATATAAGTGTTATATACACCCCAATAATGATTTATGATGAAATATAACTTATATAAAGGTTACATACACCCCAGTGTTGATTTATGATGAAATATAACTTATATAAGGGTTACATACACCCCAGTGTTAATTTATACACTTACACATGATTATTATTAGTTTCTTCAAACTTCATTCCAGAAAAAACACTAAATGTACTTTACTGGTAGTTGAAAATTGTTTAGGCCTACATGTTTTTGGTAAAAGTTAATTAACACAATTTTAAAGACCCATTAACAACATCATTAAATTTAAAGTAGGAGTTATGATGTTTTTAAAGTGCATACTTAATTAAACTTAATGAAAAAAAAAAAAATTGACAGTTGATTTTCATTTCGCTGTTTATCAAACTAAAAATATGATTTTATATGTTTTCAGATCCGATAGCACAAGATAAGAAAAATGTAGTATGCCCGTTTATAGATGTGATAGACTACGAGACATTTGCCTATAGAGCTCAAGATGAAGGTGCCAGAGGGGCGTTTGATTGGGAATTTTTCTACAAACGTCTGCCATTATTAGATGAAGATAAAAAACATCCTGCTGATCCATTCAAGTGAGTTACAGGACAATATACTCTTCAAGAAATTTGATTAAAATACAGACCTATATTTAGTTTCTTTTTTTATACTTTCGATGGTCTTCACTACATGAAGATCTGACCGGTTGTAGTGCGAGGTCGCATCAGGGGTCATACAAGCGGTTATTGACCCTATGACGCTAGGCATTTAATTAACCAGTCAGAATTGATGTTTCTAATGGGCTACCCACTGTTCTGTACACCTTACGCCAAAAACTTGCCGTAACAGACCGTTTCATTGGCTAATCCCTCAAATCATCCAGAACGTGTGTTATATAACAACTCTTCCAGATCTTAGTGTAGTAAAGACAAGTAAAACGAAATTTTGAACTATGAAAATGAAATAAAATAGGAGCTGAGACCATCCACTTCAGTGGGCCAAATTGGCATGGTACTCAGTACGGCACTCTTAATGTTTGACCCGTTTACACTACAAAAAAAATTAACCACACAATACCTGGTACCGTGCATGGCTCGTTTAAAATTTATAATGTAAACGGGATTATAGTTTCTCTTTGTTTATATGCCAATCTTCTCTACAACTTTAAATTTTAGTTTATGAATTATTACCTGAATACATTGGGTTGAAATTTAGATTGAAAAAAAAAAAAACACCATTTTTTAAAGAGATCTGCCTTATTTTCTTGCTAATTTTTATATTTGTGTTGTTTTTTAAGGAGCCCAGTAATGGCTGGTGGATTATTTGCCATGGACAGAGATTGGTTCTGGGAACTAGGAGGTTATGACCCAGGTTTAGATATTTGGGGAGGAGAACAGTATGAACTGTCTTTTAAGGTAAGGAAATATTGTGTTTTTCAATACACACAAAATGTTGTGTGGGTGGAATAAATGATCTCATTATGCTCAAAGGAATACAGCTTTAAATGATAATTTTATTCAATTCTGGATTTTAGGGCTGGATGAACAATCAATCTTATTAAAATACGGATCTATATTTCATTTCATTTTTTTATACTTTCGATGGCCTACACTACATGAAGATCTTACCGGTTGTAGTGGAAGATAGCGTCAGAGGTCATACGAGCTGCTTTTGACCCTATGATGTCAGACATTTGATTAACCAATCAGCATTGATGTTTCTAGTGGGTTACCCACAGTTTCATGCAGCTCACGCCAAAAACTAGCTGTTACAGACTGTTTCATTGGCTAATCCCACACATCAATCAGAACGCGGGTTATATAACAACTCTTCCAGTTCCTAGTGTAGTAAAGACAAGTAAAATGAAATTTTGAACTATAACAAACGAAACGAAAAAGATCTGTGTTTTAATCAGATTGTATGAACAATGAATAAATCCATTTTTAATTTAAATATATGTTGATTTTGTTAACAGATATGGCAGTGTGGTGGAATGATGGTAGATGCACCTTGTTCTAGGATAGGTCATGTTTATAGAAAATTTGCTCCATTCCCTAATCCTGGTGTTGGAGATTTTATAGGAAGGGTAAGTATAATGCAGAGCCTTTTATTGGCAACCTCGGTGCAAATTTAATTAACTATTTTTGGAAAATAAAACTGCTTAATTTTCTGTTAAAAGCCCTTAAAATCCTCTACCTTAGGGCCGATGGAACTAACTCAATATACGTGAACGTGATATGTTTTCAAACAACTTAAACCTGTCAGTCTTCATTTGGAAATGGAGACTAGTGAACCAAGCTGTATTATACAGTGTCTGGATAAAAGCAGACTTTTATTTCTAAAAATATCATGTAGGCGAAATTTACCTTTTATTATCAAGTATAAAACGTAGATCATGGAACGGCAATAGATTATCAGGTCACCGAACGAAAAAACTGACCCGAAATCCTGAAGTAAATAGGTTCAGTAGTTGCGGCTAGGTATTTTACTCAGCCATTATTCAAGTTTGTTGGATAGAGTTCAGTGTTTGACCTTGTGGGTTAACTCTGATCAACTTGAATTGTGTGTCTAGTCTCTGTCTGTAATTTTAATCTTAAATGAGAGCCTCAACCAGAATGTGAACACTGTCAAGTACCTTTGACGGTCAAGCACATTTTGATTGAGTGCAAGCATCTGGGCAATATTAGATCAAAATATTACCGTTGTCAGATATTACACTATTTATTTGCTCAATCGGAGCTATATTGTACAATGCTGAATTTTTAAAAAGAGACAAATTATTATTATAAGTTTTAATTGTTTATATATATATTTAATCTGTTCTTCATTCATTTTAATAGTTTATATTCATAAATTACTTGATTTTTATTGGTTTCGAATCCCCGGTTGTACGTGACAAAGAGTAGGGTCGCCTGTCCAACCTCGTGGGTTTTCTCCGGGTCCTCCGGTTTCCTCCCACTGCTAAAGACCCCTACGCGCAAGCGAATTATTGAAATAAAATTAAACCATATGTTAGTCCTGAAATGACCTAGTTTGTGTCGAGTGGACATTAAACCCCATTTCTCTCTCTCTCTCTCTCTCTCTCTTGATTTTTATTTTTAATTTTATATATTTTATATATTTTCTGTGATATTTGTTTTTATTTATGGATATAAATATATTTTTGTGATTTCCTTCATTTTTGTCTTGAATAATTAAACATATGGTTGGCGCAATATAGCCTGGTAGGAGCTGACGTGCCATAAAACCACATTTTAAAAATGTGTATATTGTGTTAGTTGTTAATTGGGAACTGCTTCTTTAAATAACTGCTTGCTTAAAAACAATAAAATGATTACACAAAAAGTAACCATAAATAAAACACTATTTTAGAATTATAAAAGAGTAGCCGAGGTATGGATGGATGAATATGCTGAATATCTATATAAAAGACGACCACATTATAGAAATGTTGATGCTGGAGATATATCTGAACAGAAGGCTATCCGAGAAAGATTACATTGTAAACCTTTTAAATGGTTTATGGAAGAAGTGGCCTTTGATCTACCTAAATTTTACCCTCCAGTAGAACCAACACCCATGGCCTCAGGCGAGGTAAGAAATATATATACAGATTATGTAATAAAATCTAGTGAAATATCTACACATAATAAAATAAAATATTTATAGTCACAGATAAGCTATAAAAGCTAGTAATAATATGCATATTTTATTATTACAAGTATCTAGTAAAGCTAGTGATAATATGTGTATTTCATAATCAAACAATAATATGTGTATTTAAAGATACATTCCCGCGTAAAAACTGGGTGATTTAATGGTATATATGGACTAAAAACATATTCAAACTAATTAATTTGTCATAACTTTGCTTCAAATCCTTCTCAAACATTGTAATTGCGAAGGAATGTCCTGCTATAAAAATTCAATCAAACTAGGTCAGGTTACGTCACGTGACTTACCTCTCTTGGAAGTCAGAGGAGAATTCATTGCACACATAAGACGATGTTGTCTTTAATCGCTTACTATTTATTACAAATATATCGAATCCTAATTAAATTCTCGGATTATCCACTACCGCGTCTTTTTCCGTCATTTTTATCTCAGAAAGTGTTGTACGTCTAACTCTTCATAAAGTTTATCAACTTGTACATCAAGCGCTCAATGTTCACGTGTGACCTTTGACATCACGCGTGCAGAAATCCTAATCGTCGGGCTGTTGATTAGGGGAACCCTTACATTTTTGTCCTGTATACGTTTCATGAGTGTTTATTGGGGAATCCAGTATTTTTCTAGTAAGATTGGATATCTCTACTTTCCATATATACCAAAATTACCATACTTTTATTGGAAATAACCACCAGATAAATACTTTTCTGGGAACCCATCTTTAAAGTGATAGATATGTTATAAAAGCTAGTATTATTATGTGCATATTTTAGTTGAACATAGATACTAAAGCTAGTAATATTATGTGTATTTCTTAATTACAAATAGGTAACAAAGCTAGTAATATTAGGTGTATTTCTTAATTAAACATAGATAATAAAGCTAGTAATATTAGGTGTATTTCTTAATTAAACATAGATAATAAAGCTGGTATTATGTGTATTTCTTAATTAAACATAGATAATAAAGCTGGTAATATGTGTATTTCTTAATTACAAATAGGTAATAAAGCTAGTAATATTAGGTGTATTTCTTAATTAAACATAGATAATAAAGCTGTCGTAGTAATATGTATATTTCTTAATTAAACATAGATAATAAAGCTGGTAATATGTGTATTTCTTAATTAAACATAGATAATAAAGCTGGTAATATGTGTATTTCTTAATTACAAATAGGTAATAAAGCTAGTAATATGTGTTTATATAATAAAGCTAGTAATATGTATTTTATAATTACAGATCCGTAATAAAGCCAGTGATATGTGCATTGATACAAGATTTAAAGGAGCTAATGAAAGATTTGAGATAGAAAAATGTGTTAAAGATGGTGGAGGGGCTAATGGAGAACAGGTAAAACTAAACACATGAAAACATTAGATCACTCTTGTATTAACTACGTACAATTTTCTAATTGCAGAAATTAAATTGAAATAAATATATTTATGATGTTAGTATTCGATATATATTCTTATTCTTTTTTTTATTTCTTCAGCAATTTGAGTTTTCATGGCACAAAGATTTGAGACCTAGATCTAGAACAGTTTGTTTTGATGTATCTAGTTCTGTACCTAAAGCACCTGTTATATTATATAATTGTCATGGTATGCAAGGTAATCAACGATTTAGATATAATTTGGTAAGTATGTTTAATATACAGCGTATATAGATATAACTTGGTAAATATATATGAGGTATTTTAATGTTTAATATATGTGTGGAAGATTTGTGTTTGAATCAATTTGCATAATATTAAAAAAGTTTAGGAAGTTTAGAAGAGCCATTATTGTCTGAATTTCTGGAATTTTTTGCTCAATCTGATTAAAACAAAGATCGGTTTGTTTTTTATAGTTCAAAATTTCGTTTTCACGTGTCTTTACTACACTAGGATGTGGAAGAGTTGTTATGTAACCCACGTTCTGGTTGATTAGCCAATGAAACGGTCTGTTGCAGCGAGTTCTTGGCGTGCAATGCATAGAACTGTGGGTATCCTACTAGAAACATCAATGCTAATTGGTTAATCAAATGTCTGATGTCATAGGGTCAAAAGCCGCTCGTATGACCCCTTATGTGACCTCCCACTACAACTGGTCAGATCTTCATGTAGTGTTGGCCATTAAAATAATAAAAAATACAAAACGAAATATAGATCTGTATTTGAATCAGATTGCCCCTTTCCCAAATTGTCTGTCGCCTGAACGCAACAGTGGCAGAAGTGATGTATAAAAATAACACTGTGATATTATTTATGTCTTTGTTGACCAACCGAGTCCATGGCATGTTGGGTGATCAAGTGGTCTAAATCAAGCACTTTAGACTTTAGATCATAAGGTCAGTCATTGATTAAAGTGTTGTGATCAGGAATAGGGTCTCCTGACTAACATTGTGGGTTTTCTACTAAAGACTTTTTCATGGACACAGATTATTGAAATATACATTATATTAATCCATAGATGACCTAGTTTATATTGAGTTAAAACCCACATCCTGAAATGAGGTAGTTTGTATGGAGTGGAGTTAACCCCCCCCCCCTCTCTCTCTCTCTCTCTCTCTCTCTCCACACATACACACAGTCAATATGAATCGTTTACAAAGTTAATTTTTTTTGTAGTGTAAACAGGTCAAACATAAGCGTGCCGTACTGGGTACCGTGCCAATTTGGCCCACTGAAGTGAGGTGGTCTTGGCACGATTAAATTTTTGTAGTGTAAACGCTGTCCGGTCTGAGAATGGTTCTAAGTACGGATTACTGCGCGTGCGCCAAATGAACCATGACCTTTTTTCCTGCCAACTTTGACAGTTCTGTCATCAGTTCTGTCAAAATGGCTGCCGAAAACTTAATCTACCGCCATAATTGTTTTCATTTGGGTAATTTGCATAGGGACTAAAATTAACTTTTCTGTTAAGAGTTCGGAGACCGGTTATTTTAGAGTAATGTAAACAGGTTAATTTCTTGAAATTTATAGGGGGGGGGGGGTGTGGATGGCCGAATGGTTAGCACGTGCGTGCTGTATCATAAAGCCTGTCACTGAGTCAACTGGCGTGGTTTCGAATCCCTGGTGTACGTGACAAGGAGTAGGGTCGCCTGTCCAACCTCGTGGGTTTTCTCCGGGTCCTCCGGTTTCCTCCCACTGCTAAAGACCCCTACACGCAAGCGAATTATTGAAATAAAATTAAAAACCATATGTTAGTCCCGAAATGACCTAGTTTGTGACCAGTGGATATTAAACACCATTTCTCTCTCTCTCTCTCTCTCTGAAATTTATTGCGGCCAAGTGTAAACCGGCCAAGTGTAAACCGGGCTAATGAAAAAAGTACTATAGAGAGATAATAATTACATGTATTGATTGAAACACTGGTATATGTATTTATATTTCAGGATACCCACCAGTTATATCATCCTGTAAGTGGTCAATGTTTAGACTGTGATAAAGACAATCATGAAATATATATGAACCCATGTGACAAATCATCAGACACTCAAGTCTGGATGTTTGAAAAAATTGAAGAAGAACAAGTAAGGAAAGATTGGGATGTACCATTAGAGTGATGGGGCCTTTAAATTTTTAATTTAGATTTTGTTTGGTATACATCAAGTATGATGCCAGGTGTATGGAAATTTTAGAATGAGCATTCATAAAAAATCACACAAAATGTCTTATTCAAACTGTCTTATGCAATTGAAGTTAAATTCTTCAACAGCTTACGAATGTTCATAGATGCCATACTTTGTCGTTTTTATTAAAAACTAATAAGTAATTTTATTACATAATTTATGTAATTTTAAATTTATGCAAGTTAATTCAATGTTTGCCTTGATACTTACATGTTTATATAATTAAAAGAAATCAAGTTATTTAGTCATAAATTAAATGAGATTAATATAAATCCAGACGTCCAGTGATTATCTTGTCTCAGTTAGGCCAGTACAACTAGATCATTGTCTAAAATATCTTGATCTCAACTGTATATTACAATTCCATAAATATAGTTTAGCCAGATATCAGGATATTGTCTTCAGCTAACATCTCACTGTAGACTTGTAATTGTTAATTTATAGGCTGCATTCTTTAGAAATCCACCTTTAGAATTATTCTGCACAGAATGCTAGAATTTACAATAGGCCAACTGGGAGGCAAAATACTAATCAATCAACAAGGGTGAAATAATCCAATGATATGTTGTTTATTTTCTTTGTTACGATTGGATTCCTGTTAGATATCTACCTGTTATTGCATGAAAATAAGAAGGTTATGATACATTCAATGGTTACAGCACATAGGCTTATTCATGTGTATAGTCCAGTAAGAGCTTACTAATAAATAGTTGTCTTAATATTGTAGAGTGCACTTAATTTAATCAACCTTTCTTATATAATTTTCGAACATCACTTGATGTTAGTGCTGGACAGAGTCATATATTTCATTTGTTAATTTATTCAATAACGAACTAACATTCCTTTGATACATGTATTATAATTGCTGTTGAAAGATCTAGAGAGTTAATTATTAGTTGAAATATTGGACCTGCAGGATGTATTTTTAAAATACAGGTGTGACGTCATTATTTTTACTAGTTGAAATATTGACGTATTTCATTGAAATGCACGTGCTGGATAGTGTTTGTATTTTAAGTTGTTTAATGGTCCCGTACAAGAAATTGCGTAATATATAGAAATAGCCCTTGTGATAACGCACTCGTGCAATATCAATATATTACTTAATGTCTGGCACTCGACCATTAAACTACACTTAATGTTCTGAATTAAAAAGTTGAAATGATGTAACCTCTGTATGGTAATTTTTACATGTACAAAAGATAAACCTATAACTAATAATTTTTATTATAATATTCATCGAATACTTATGTACCAGTATATTTATTATATATCATAAAATAATATTCAATTATTGGGTATTTTGGCCTTAGTGATAACTTTACTAACAATAGCTTTCTCATATGATAAAATAACTATGCAAGTATAGCTGTTTATTGTAATAGTTATTATTTTATATGTCCTTATGAAAAATAATATGAATGGCAATCTGATTGAAACACAGATCCTACTTCGTTTCGTTTTTTATAGTTCGAAATTTCATTTCTCTAGGATCTGGAAGAGTTGTTATATAACAGGCTTTCTAGTTGATGTGAGGAATTAGCCCATGAAACGTTCTATTACGGCAAGTTCTTGGAATTGGCGTGCTCTGTGGGTAAACCCCTAGAAACGTCAACACTGATGGATTAATCAATGTCTGATGTCATAGGGTCAATAGCCGCTCGTGTGACCCCTGACACGACCTTATACTACAACTGGTCAGAACTTCATGTAGTGTAGGCCATCGAATGTATAAAGAAACGAAATGAAATATAGATGTGTATTTTAATGAGATTGTATGAATGTTAAGAAATCCAGGCTTGTATTTAGATAGTATGGTGTACAGTCAATCATTTCATCCCTCCATCAACTAGAGCTACACCATAAGCCTTCTATTTCATTTTCTTTAAGCATCATTTTGAAATTGTTTTGATTGTTTAGTATTTATAATAAGATGCTTCATCTATCTTATTTTTGCTATTTGACAAGAATATCAATAATTTTAATAGTTAAATATTTCTGTTTCGTTTATTATTAGGTGTTTGTTATTTACATAGTTCTAAACTTAGTGTCTAATTATTGTGCCTTTTATAAATTTCATATTGTTTTTAAAAATTTAATTTGTCTCATGTAGATACACAAAGGGCCAAAATGTGCTTCCAATATTTGCTTGTATATTTTGTATAATTGTTTTACTACATGATTTATATAATTCACCTCACCATCTGTGGAGGATCCTAAGGAAGAGTTTTGCAGGGGTACTGCCACTCGTCTAAAATTTGACCCATTTCTCGATAAAAGTGCTCGTTTTAGACATATTTGTTCAATTACTACCCCCTTTAATACCCCTTCCCCGCCCTTTTAACTTCCGTTATGGTTAAATTTTATTCATTCTCATGGTGTTAATTTCCTGAAAACATGTCATTGTCATTGGTACAGAACTACTAATATATTACATGCACTGTGTGTGTGTGTGTGTGTGTGTATATATATATATATATATATATATATATATATATATATATATATATATATATATATATATTGAGAGAAATTATTCCATGCATAGTATTGTGACAAGGACCAAAAATATTATATTATTATTCGTTATATTCATATATTATTCACTTTTAAATAAATATTTTACTTAATTAAGTCATATATTATGGACTTAAAATTATTATTTCACTTAATTAGTTGATATATCAGTTTACTTAGTTAGTTCATATATTATTGACTTAAAATTAATATTTTACTTAATTAGTTTATATATTATTAACTTAAAGTTAACATTTCACATTCATTAGTTGATATATCAATTAACTTGAAATTACCATTTCACTTATATTAACTTGGAATTAATATTTCACTTAATTAGTTCATATATTATTAACTTAAAATTAATAGTTTATATAATTTTGATGAGTTTTATTTATTTCTCATTTGATGGTAACTAATTATTATATAAATTAATTAGTATGAAAATATAGATCTGTATTTTAATCAGATTGTAAAGAACCCTATTAAAATAGTCATGGATCAATTATTACTTGTGCCGATCAGTTTTATGCATATAGTTATTGCTCTTTAATACCGAGTGTGTTAAATCCTGCTGATGAGGCCTATATTTCCTGTCTGATGCTATGTTTATTACATGCACTGATCCCACATAAATAAAAATAAGAAGTGTAGTACCAGTATTACATAAAGTCTAGTAAAGTATTAATAGTAGCCTTTCACGGGCGGGTGGAATTATACCGAAAATCGGAAATTGATATGTTGCCTTTTGGAAAAGAACCTGTCATACTAGCCATTTTGGAAAAGAAGTTGTCATATTTTATTATTATTACTATGTATTCACTTGGTATATATATTATTTTATGTTTGTTATTATTAAACACACACACACACAATATGGCAGGAAAATCTAGCTCAATCATTGTTATTAGCCATGTGCATGTTTTATTGGGAAGTTACTTATATAAATATATGTAAATAAAAGTGGACATATTTTGTGTATATAAGAGGTTTATATATATATTATGTTGTTATACCCACGTCAGATCGGGGTGGTTTCCTTACTGTGCTGCTACGGCGACGGAAAATGGTCTCAGATCGCATTTTCTGGTTGCCGTAGGGTCTGACGGGGGCATTAGTTACAAATGTTAAGGGATATGGGAGCTTGCATTTTGTACATTATTGCTCAAATTTTAACTTTAAAAAATAAATGGATAGTTTATTGTTGAAATGTGTTGATTTAAAATGTACAGTATAAAATGGAATGGGTCACACCTATATATTTCATCATTTTACGAGTAACTTGGTAATTAATATTCTATTAGTTGTGAAATACAAGCGGGAGAATTTTGCCTCGAAAGCAGTGATTCTGCCCACTCTTCTCCAATTACCAATGGGGGAGCCACGGTGGCTAAGTGGGTAAGACGATGGCTCGCTAACCTGGAGGTCGCGGGTTCCCTCCCGGTGTTGGCCAAGAAAGTTCATGGGAATTTTTCGACATGGTTTCCCCTTGTCAGTAATGCAGGATGCAGGGGCCTGACAAGGACAGCTGTCTAGTCGTTCGGATGGGATGGAAAACCGAGGTCCTGTGTATACACTGGCATGCACGTAAAAGATCCCCTAGCAGTTGGACTTCGATATAAGAGTAGTACCGCTGCCAGGGCAAAATTTCCCCTTATAGCACTCTGTATGGCATATACCCATCTTCATTAGCCCAGTCGGAGCAGAACAGTAGGACGGTAAACCTCATTTCATTTCTTTTATTCTTTAGGTATGACAAAAACAACAGACAAATAGATGTAAAGGGAATAAAAATACACAAATACTGTAGCTATTATATTGATAGCTCTAGGTGTGATTTACAGGTATTCAGAGTTTTGTGCAACAGTTCTTTTGTACAAACCAAGTGTATAATTGAGAAAAATACAGAACAAACTTTCATTAATAAGAATTAACGGTTATTTTCCTTAATTCTAGGTTGCCACTATCACGATTCACGCTACGATTGAAATCATGGTTTTAATCATGGTGATCCTATCAGGTTTTATCATATATTGAGGTCAGTTGTAGCAATCGTGTTGATCGTATGTGAACGTATCTGCCAGTACCTAGCATTAAAGACACGATACTAAAACTGATTTACATTAAGAGTTTCATTTCTACATATAGTATGCCAACATTATTGCTTCAACATTCTACTGGGAAAGCAAATCATTACCAGTAATATAAAATAAATTTATAATTAGACAGGAGAGATTTAAATCTTGATTATATTTTGGAGAATAAAACTGCTTAATTTTGTGTTAAAAGCCCTTAAAATCCTCTACCTTAGGGCCAAGCAATTAACTCAATATACACAATCCATTTTCAAACAACTTAAACCAGTCAGTTTTCATCTGGAAATGAAGACCTGTGTCCCAAGCTGTGTTATACGTGTCTGGATAAAACCAGACTTTTATTTTATAAAGATAACATGCAGGCGAAATTTACCTTTCGTTATCAAGTACAGCATGTGGGTCATGCACTGTAAAGACCTCTAAGGGAACGGCAATAGATTATTATCAGGTCACCCAACGAAAAAATTGACCTGAAATCTTAAAAGGGTTATGTGTCCGGATAAGCGGTTTTGATGTTGATGGCCAAACGACTCAATATTTTGAGCTGAAATTTTTAGACAAGGTAAATACACCATTCCTCTATATTTCAACGCTTAAATTTCATATGTACGCAGACTTTTATTTCTGAGACTCTGTTAAAATCGGGATGGTCCCTTTAAAAAGTATGGCCACTTTTTAAACTTGATGCTATATGTATGCAGTAAGCTAGTAACTTCAAAGATTTATGATGCAATGAAGTCAAAGTCTGCATGCTTACAAATAATTCAGCAAAATAGAGAGGCAGAAAAATGCATTCCAATTCTCAAATACATTTGAAAATCAGTACAACCGGATTATAACAAAGAAATTAAAAGTGTAAAAGTCTCTTTAAAATACTTGTAAAGTATCAAATTTCAGCCCAAAAATGGCATCGTTAGTCTATTTCATTTATAATCGACATAACATATCAATACATTATATTTTTACAACAAAAACAGACTTGAATTTAAATACATATTTTTATACAGGTTGTGTTAAAAATAAATTTGGAAAAAACTTTAGAGCTTCAACTGTTTCATCTCGACAAATTCCACCAACTTTTTCTGTTAACAGAAGTCTGTAAATAAAACACAGATTAAAGGGCAATTAATATTTGAGTGATTAAATGACATATAAAAAAAGCAACCTGATTTCAATTTAACAGTATTATTTACTACATATTCTGGTGTATATTCACTTTTTAATGGCTTGTTTCACGGTAAGCTATTATTTATTTATTTTAGTTGTACAAATAAAACAGATTGTATTTTTATCTTTTATGTTCTTCCATCTCATGCCTAGAAACCTGCATCCTCTAAAAATATTTCTATAAATAACTAAAGTCAGATTTCCAATGGCGCCAGAGAGAGAGAGAGAAATGGGGTTTAACTTCCACTCAACACAAATTAGGCCATTCTTGGACTAACACATGGTTCACTATTTTTTTTCAATTATTCGCTTGCGCGTAGGGGTTTTAGCAGAGAAAACCCACAAGGTAGGACAGGCAACTCTACGCCTTGTCACATACAACTGTGGAATTGAAACCACGCCAGTTGACTCAATGATAGACCTTATGATACAACGCGCACGCGCTAACCATTTGGCCATCCAACCCCCCTGGGTGAGGTAGCCAATGATTAAAGTAGTATATCAGACTAATCTCTACCTTTCTTTAGCCAATAAAACAGATACACCAATAGACTGTGCTAATTCTTCCGCTGTACTAAAACCATGTTCTTCAACCTAGAGCAAAAAATATACCATTGATTAAATATTACACCGAGGCCTCGCTATAAGGTGGTTCTCTCTATGGGGATCAGGTGGTTCAATATGGGACACAGGTGGTTCTCTATGGGGAACAGGTGGTTCTCTATGGGGATCAACTCGACTCCCAGCAGGTGGATATAAAGGTGGACTCTATCTATCTATTGGTGATTTAACCTCTGCTTCCACAACAACCTCTGGGGACCACAACAACAGCTTAAATACAACTTACATATTGTGTCGTATGTGAAATAACTTTTTCTTCATCTTGACTCTGTGACTGTAAAACTAATACACCACTATCAAATGTTCGTAATCTGTCAAGAAACAGAGAAACATTTAAAACCCCACTTGCAGAATGTCACAAGTATTCAAGTACGGATTAAATATTTTGTTCAAAGCATCAAAGGCTTTTTAAGATCATCCTATGCTTATCAACTATTGGGTTGAAATATTGAAAAGGTAATTAGGTAATTTATTGTTCATTTAGAAGATCTCATTCCAGGACATATTTTTGTGTAATTGTTCATCACTTGAGGCCCAGCCATTGTGCTAGTCGCCTTATTTCCAAATAGCACTTTAGATAGAAAAACTCTGACCAACACTAAATTTAAACATCTCAAATTTACACAGATCATCATTTGATGGTAGAGAATAAGAATTGACCTGCTGCTCTCTCCTTGTGTTCCTTTTAATAGTATTATGTGTACAATCATAGGAAAAGGCTGGAGGGCGACCTTTAACACAGAGAGAGAGGCATTTAACTTCCTCTTGACACAAACCAGGTCATTTCGGGACTGACATGGTTCAATTTTATTTCAATAATTGGCTTGTGCATAGGGGTCTTTAGAAGTGGGAGGAAACCGGAGGACCTGGAGAAAACCCATGAGGTTGGACAACCATGGAATCGAAACCACGCCAGTTGACTCAATGACAGACCTTATGATACAGCGCGTACGTGCTAACCATTCGGCCATCCAACCCCCCTTGATATTTGACAGAGAAGGCCGGAAAACATCAACACTTTGATGTACATGTAGCACAATCAGATAAATTTCATTACCTTACAGGAAGATGTAACATTTCCATTAATTCACAGGCATGTAATAAATCTTCTGGTGATAATAACTGTAAATATAAAATGGTTGTAGATTTTAAAATATTTTATGAAAAAGCAACAAGTTAGAATTACTCAAAGAATGTGTAATAAACAATTACATTGCCATAATGTATGTTTAAAGGATTTGGCAATAACTCTGCACAAAATCTGAATTTCAGTATAGTTCCTCATCGGATGAAAGGACTGAATGATCAGTTACTCATCCACAGGTGAGCAGATTATAAAATTAACTACTATTATTTAAATAGATTTTTACGAATACATGCATTCCTCAAAACACACCCTTCAGATAACATATATAATTACAGTGGTAGTGAAATATGTAATATGCGATTGTAAGTATGTAGTGGATAAGCATTGATTAGAAATGGGGAAAACTGGAATGAAACCTTGAATATGAGTAACTTCCAAAGAAACGTACATGCATTAATTTATTATTTTTTTTATTTCCACCAAATAGGTGTTTGTGCTTGACCCTGCCACCCCGAGCAGGTATATCAAGAGCATAATGTACTGTATAATATAGAATATTTTACTACCTCCATTCCCCGAGCTCTGTTAACTCTACAATATACATCAGTTAATGTCATCATTCCACCACATTCCTGGTAATAATAAACACACAAATAATCATAATCACAATTCTCACTTCAATCTTTACTACAAACTGGCGGGTTGGATGGTTAGCGTGTTGTATCATGAGGTCGGTCATTGAGTCAACTGGCGTGGTTTCAATTCCGCGGTTGTACGTGACAAGAAGTAGGTTCGCCTGTCCAACTTCGTGGGTTTTCTCCGGGTCCTCTGGTTCCCTCCCACTGCTAAAGACTCCTACACGCAAGCAAATTATTGAAATAAAATTGAACTATGTTAGTCCCTAAATGATCTAGTTTGTGTTGAGTGGATGTTCTCTTTCTCTCTCTTATTACAAACTGAACTGTGTTTTTAAGGAGCAGTCTAAGTGGATATCATAAAAAAAAATAGTGGGTTTACTTATGAAAATCAAATGCCAAAACGTTATTGAGCCAATCGGAAACAATCGCTCGATTTCCTTTAAGTAACCAATTTAAGGAATTTCATCGTTCAGTTGTATGAATCAGTTAGTAATCAAGACCAGTTGCATCATTTCTATTGTATCTTTCTTGTATTCATTGTTTTATTGTGAGTTTGTTTTCATTTGGAGTGAGCTTGTATCTATACAGTACTGGAATGCAGTGGACACTTATATTCACTAGGTCGTTTATTGCTTGCAATGTCTGTGTTGTCCGCAGGTTTGTCAAACAGGTTTTGTTTGTGTGTTATGTTATTCTCCGGCTCTTAATTATAATATTAATAAATATTATATGACAATATATACATATGGCTATTTACTTAAATATATCTGAGACGACTCCTTTCAGCTTAAATTCATTCAAATCATCATCAGATAGACTAATTGTCAGGTATTCAATATCACAGCCAGTCATTCAGCTAATACTGACAAATATTGCTGAAACATGAAAGTAAATATTGACCCACCTCTACTGGCTGTGTTAAAACAGAAGCTAATTGTTTAGCTAGTTCTGTATAATATTTATCACCAGTACCATGTGTTTCTCTAGTAACAGGATTTGGTATACCCATAGATAATAAATATGATTTAAACTTTCTTGTCTACAAAACAAAAACAATATCAAATATAACATGGACATGTTAGCAATACACTTGATTGACAATACAGCAAACACAAACTATTGCCATGCAAAATATGCCTACATTTTGAAAGAGATGGACAGAGAACAAGATCAAAAATAGAACTGATTTTTCGTACAATCAGGGGCCATAATCCAGGAAGTTACGGTCCGATATGCGTGAATATCTATAGGAATCGAAATCTTCAAAATATAAACATATATATAAAGTTCCATCAAAATGGGATAAAATTGTGATCTCTAGATGGTCCACAACATTTGCGTACAAGGAGCGACCATTTTGTTGGGCAGTTTCGCTCCCAATTTTTACGAAATTTGAAGTCAACCATCATTATGGTGTAATGGTGACAATGTGGGCGTATAACAAGAATTGCTGGCAATAGGACATGCTCATGCAAACTAAATACAATAATATCACGAAGGGTGATCGAAATAAATTTTGTGTCAGTCGATTGCCATTCTATAAATTTGTAAACATCCAGATTGACAATCAAGCACCTGCACTGTTTTGAAATGAAATGAAAGGGGGTTTAGCATCCTACTTTTCTGCTCCAACCGGGCTAATTAAGACAAGCATAGAATTTAAGGATGTTTGGCTATCCCCACATGAAAACTTAAAGTTTATATTTCCCTTGAGTATCACAGTCCTTTAGATAGTTGCACAGTACCATTAAAAGTTTTACAATGGGTTTCAGTTTTATTGTGTAAAATATATGTGGGATTTCACCTTTAATTAGACATGGTACTTGTTTGTTTTTACCTCATTTTCTGTAATATCTCCTTGTTTTTCTTTGATTTTTGTGGCAATAGTTTTAGTTAATGATACCATTTCTTTTGCCTACAAAATGGAAGACAAACAAATTAAATCAAGCAACACTACTGCATCATGGGAGTTATGAGAGGGATGTTGTGAGAGGAGTTAAGAGAGGGGTGTTGTGAGGGGAGTTGTCAGCAGGAGTTGTGAGCAGGAGTTGTGAGAGGGGTGATGTGAGTGGCATTTCCATCGACTTTACTTCAAATTCCAAATGACAAGGGACTTTTTATGTGCACCACCAATTCAGTTTATCATCTCATCCCAATGACTAGACACACTTTAGTTGCTAGCTCGCTCCCGAAAAGCACCACCCTTGACAAGTAAAAACAGTTCATCTAGGGACACACCAGGTTTGGAAACCAGGCCATTTTGGTGATAAGTCCAGTGACCAAATAGCACAACCACATTATGCCCCCTCACTACTGAAGATTATTGATTATTCATGAATTGAAGATGTTGTGAGACTTATGACCTCATGGTCCTTTAAAAACATAATATGATCGCTCAAAATATCTTTACACATATCTCATATATTTCAAATATTATTTATTTTATCGTCATATTTTCAAAGACAACTTTCTGTTTCTATACCTAAAATAACCAATTTAGGAGGACAGATCTTACCTGATCAATGAGTTTACTCAGATCTTCAAATGCTACAGTTATTTTTTTATTTGTATTTGTGTTTTTCTGTTGTATTGATCTTTCTATACCAACAATACCAGGTCGATGTCTTGCTGATAACTATAAACAAAAACAAACAGTGAGACTGATGTCTACCGCCATAATCCCAAAATAAATAGATGACATATTACTCTCCATCAGTTAGAATCAAAGTTATCTTGTCCCAAAGCATCGACCAATGAAGTATTAATCATTGAACTCAACCTAATGAACATCTACGCCAAGTTTAAACATTCTACCTCAATGAGAAGGAGACATTTAATTAGTTCCCCGCTTTCTTCAAAAGGTGGCGGACAATAATAAAATTATAAATTAATTTCCTAGTAGATTATCTTAATACATGCATCAAACTAGCTATATTTCTCAGTTTTTAATTGCAATGTAATTAATTTAATCATAAAACTGTGAACATTATTCATGTTAAATTGGATTATCCAGAAGAAAAACAATCTCTTGAAGTTTTAAAACCAAAGTTTTCACTAAAATTTCTACATGGAATTTGTCTGAATAAACATTAATATGAATACTGTATTACCTGACTACTGGGTTGACTAACTGGTATATTTTGTTCCCATTTTCTGACTTGTAGAGCTTCATTTAAGCTTCTCAAAATCTGAAATATTAGTTAAATATATGGCACCTCCATAAATTTATTTAGAAATTTGTATTTTTGTACTGAATGTCGGATGGAAAATGTAAGTATCTTGATGGTTATGAAGATTGCCATTGTCAATAAAATATATCTCAAAATGAAGTGAACGATAATTAAATTGAGAATGTGATGTGACATTATTTACCTCGCGTTCTCCCGACTCTCTAAATGACAGTCTGATATAACTGTGAGCACTATATGTAGATGGTCCAGCAGCTTTATTAGTTGGCGCTGGTTTCAGGTGAACTATGATTTTAGCACTGGAAAAATAATATAGAATATGCCATTTATATAATCAATCAATATAAATTATTTCATGTATAAGTTATCAGTTATCACAATGAGACGTACATGTAGTGCTGGATGTTATAATCAAAGTCATGATACATTTTACTATATAGGTGTCATGATACGAAATGGTCATGATACACATTCAAGTCACAAATTGTGTCTATTTTTTGTCCATGGAACTGGAATATTCAGCTAATATGTGACATTAGGGTGTTTTTCAAGTCATTTTATACAAAAAATAGATTAAACATACAGTATAATTTTTAAAATAAAAACAGTATTTTTTGTGAATACATGTATTTACCTTTTTGCAAAACCAGATGCTTGTTCTTCTAGATATACCACAAGTGATAAAGGAAGAGCAATAACTGAATTCTGAAATCAATTTTTAAAATAAAAATTCCTAGTAAACAAGTCAATTGTATAATAACTGATAACATTTACAAAGATTTCTCAAAGTAATCAAGGGTAGTAACTTGGCCAGGCATTATCATAAATCACTGAAAATCAATAGGATTCTTCATCTCATGAAGATCAACATGGATAACTTCATCCTCTAGAGCGACACCAAATGGTTGCAAATATTGGAAATCACTGATATGCAGTAAGTTTTTTTGTCTCAGTTTAATTGGATGATAACTTTACCTCTAGAGTGACAGATTGACTGACTAAAGGACAAATTTAAATGCGGATGAATGATAACAAATCACGAGGCTGTGTGTTAGAGAGAAATAGAATTGGGATTAAGACTCTATTGTTCTGCTCCAACTGAGCTAATAAAGATAGGGTGTGTTAGAAAGCTTGATCAATCTCTGCATCGAAGTACATTTACATTGTTAGTTCCAGTTTACACTGAAGTCAGCATAATATATTTAGTAAAGTGTAAAAGGCCCATCTTACTCGATTTCTGTGGTCCCTCCATATCAATCTATGGCTTGTAACAGAAAGCATTCCAAAATCAAATGATGTCTAAAAAAAAAGAATGAACAAAATATCACAAAAGTTTACTAGAATTCGTTTATGCCTTTAAATCATGATTTCTTGTTGAAAAGGATAAACCAGGATTCGAACATATGACATTCCACTCGACAGTGTATATCATAGTGCCATGGGTCGCAACGCATATAATAATGAATTATGAATGAATATAAACTGATTTACATTCAATCGTTTCTGTTTTTACTGTAATTTCTAATCAGATATGTTCGGCGAAATACGCCAGAAGTCTCAGTTGAATGACAATCTTTAGAGTCTGGTTATTCCAGTTTACACCGATGGTATTTATTGCGCATGCTCTTCAGATAAGAATATAGCGTCACCAATTAACATGACTTGTGGAATATGTCTAGCCGTGTTCTTGGAGTCTCTTGTTACAAATGCTAAGATGTTTCTTTTGTCTTGAATATTGGATAGCAAAAGCAGAGACTTATATGCCCGAGTTCGTAAATTTGTGCGTTACCCTTTCAATGAAGTCGACCAAATCGGTTAGAAGACAGAGACGTATTTTTTAACAGCGTATTTTGTCGCTCATACTTGTTCTAGCGAGGTAAGCAAGGTCTTATTTTCTCACTAAGATGTTCAGTTACATTTGTCAGGCGTTCACAGGGACTGACACTCGACCGTTTAGCAGCAAAAAGTTGCCCTGTAAAATTGACTGGGAAGCCAAACTTTTTCGCCAAGGATTCAAAATAACACGGTCCCTGAACGTACAGGGCGAGTGTAATGAGACCTACGTTCAGAGCTGAACTAGAGACTTAGTTACTTTAAAACACGTAAGAGTGGATGGATAACATGACGAATTAGCAGTGCCAAGCGGGTTGACTGTGAATGCATAGATATTGACGCAGCACAGGTGAGGAAGTCAAGTTACGGAGTGGGTTGATCATACAAAAATTTGATGCAGTTCATTACTTTATCATGTCCATCATAAATGCCAACTCCTCTCTGCTGGTCAATGTGGGATTCTCCACTCATTAACGAACCATCTGACCATTCTAATCTATCCATTGTGGCACCATACAGTTATTTTATACATAAAAATGTATTAAAGATTGTGACATCTGATAATGTTTGTCTACTTTCATTTCCAGACGGTGCGGATCTATCGGAAATCGGTGGGTATAATTTACTGTTTACCAATATTACAATAATTCTTTCCAGAACTCCCCCCACCCTCAGTTCGAATATAATTCAATAAGGGCACCTGGAGGATAGCTTGAATTAATTTAATATTCGTGGGTTGAGGTGTAGGGTGTGGGGTGAGAGAGAAAACCCAAACTGTTTGTAAAATGTATGTCAATCAGGTGGTCGGCGGGGTTAGCAATACGAAGCCACCGACTGAAAAAGTTTATAAATAAATTTACTTTAAAATTTACAGATAATTATTTCATAATGTACTTCATTTAAATACACATTGCTCAAATAATAAAGATTAATTTTCTTTTCTTAAGTTCATCGATTAATATTTTCTGCGGGGTAGGTTACTTTCTACCGCTTCCGTTGTCTTATTCGTTGGGAAGGTCACGTTTATTTTTTCGACTGTCTTGTCACGTAGACTTTAATAATGTTGTCCAGGGCACTTCCCGCTGTCAGAGCATTAAAGTCGATTGCACGTATGTTGTTATTTTATCTATCTTGTCAGATTTACTTTAATGTCAAATTGAAATTAAATCCATCTCTGTCACTCCAACTTAATCGGCAGAAAGAGAACTTCCTTTTCAATCTTTCGATTCTTTGGCAATCATCTGCATCATGTATGACTATGATCAGATATCATTGCTGTAATTCATGTAAAGTTATGTAATCAGTTTAGTTTTAGGGTTTGCATATATTGAAGTTAAAAAAGTGAATGACATCAAGCATGGATGCCAGAACTTTTTATACCCCCACTATGGAAATGTGGCCGTAGTCTACAGCACAGGAATCTGACTTTCTTTTGTATCCGTATATATATATATATATATATGCATACACCATGTCGTACCAGACAATATATAATAAATATATATTGTCTGGTACGACACGGTGTATGCATATATATACGGATAGAAGGTCAGATTCCTGTGTCTACAGACTACATTTATGATTTATCATCCGATTGTTTTGAAATGCATTTTGTTTACGGTACATATTTAATGAGATGAAGAATCCTATTTAAAAATTAATTTCAAGAATTTCCATTGATTTTTCTAGATTTATTGCCCTTGTTTCACTTTGTAGAACCATGTAAACGCTCTTTATGATAAAAGTTATCATCTGATTTGTATCAAACTGGTATCATCATTGTATTGTAAACGCTCCTCATTACCGTACCCACAAAATAATAAATATGAAACAACCCTTGTCAGCTGCTCCGATGATTTAGCTGCCGTGGGCATATGTTTCATTGCCTGGCAACCTACCTTTTATATTGAGGAATAATATTTTTTAATTGAATAATAGTGTATTAAAATAAAAGCATCAAGAGCCAACTCAAATTGCTTCAAACTGTAGGCCTATATATTGTGTGGTTGAGCTTTCTTCAGTAAGCTTTTTAGAATACATCATATGAAGACATAATGCTAGTAACAATCCTTTATTAATATTATTTTAGACTACCTGTTACCTTTCTTTTTGGAACCACAGTGGGTAAGACGCTGGCTCGCTAGTCTGGAGGTCGCGTTTTTAATCCCTGCATTGACCGAGAAAGATTGATCAGGATTTTCCGACATGATTTCCCCTCGTCAGTGGTGCAGCTGTCTAATCGTTCGGATGGGATGAAAAACCAAAGACCTGTGTATACATTGGTGTGCACGTAAAAGATCCCTTGGCAGTTGGAATTCGATATAAGAGTAGGCCATAGTGCTGCTGCCTGGGCAAAATTTCCCTTATAACACACTGTATGGGATATGTCCGTCTTCATTAGCCCAGTAGGAGGAGCAGAACAGTAGGACGTTAAACCCCATTTCATTTCATTTTGTTACCTTTTCAGGTACACAGCCACAAGTTCTACGATGTATGAGTGGAGAAGCCCCAGCTCACTGGAAATCAGAAAGACAAATAGCTATTGATGGTAAAATAACATTAGATGACATTCCTGTTCCAGAAGGATCATGGCAGGAGCAACAGGATAGAATCAACAAATCACAGAACGTGATGCTAGTTGGTTCACTAGTATTTTTTGCTATAACAGCAGTAGCTGTAAGTAAAAATTTACCTTTTCTATAAAAGATCACCTTCATAGCTTTAAATGGGTTTATGGATAACAGTTTTTCAAGTGTTAATTTTCAGTTTGTATGAATATGATAAAAGCAGACATCTATTAGTATTAACCCTGACCACTCCCCAATGACATTACTGAAAATTCAATTTTTGGTTTTCGTCAAATTCCCCATTGACTCTTTATGGCAGTTATGTTGTCAGGTCAACAAAATTACGCAAGATTGCAAAAATAAAAGAGCCGTTATAAATGAACATAACTGAAAACACATCACATAACATCCAGAATTGGTAGAAAGTCAGGACAGTTAAGAGGACTGCGTGATAGTTTTACTCAAATAATTTCATTGTCATTTAGCTCCATGTTTTTTCATAAATGTAGTGTTATAAGATAGTTCTAAATGTTTTTTTTTCTATTGCAGGCATACCAGCTTGACGCAGTTTATATGCATGGAGAACCACCTTTAAAATCTGTGAAATTTGATTAAATTGAAAATATTTAGTAGAATGAAGATTAAGAAATCTGAAAAAGTTTTATTTCAGAGCTGACTTTATTTATAGATATACTACCAAGTTTTGTGGATTATTGAATTGTCGTTATATCAAACCATCAATAAATTTTTAAATACTGTCTTGTGTATTGTATATAAAATATGAAAAGAAATGCATTATGCAGGAGCTAAATCTGTCTATTGCAGCGTCTTTCTTTAGGCCTGAAATGTTATCTAAATTATTAATTAAGACATTAATTAACTTATCCAGACCATAATCAACTCTTGATGTTTTTTATTGTACCGACTTTAGTAATGATGATCGAGGCTAGCCTAAAATTCAAAAGCCAATATCTCAGTTCAGAGTGAAGCAATCTGACTGAAATTTTCAGCATATTCGATTTATGTTATCTATTATAACCAGAACTGTCAACTCTTTATCTAATCTCCCATAATGCCCCTTACAATGGTCTTCATAAGTAATAGTGTTGATCAGTGCAGCCTGAATGGTCCTGACTTAAAGATACATTAGGTAAGATTAGATAAAGAGATGACAGTTCTCGCTAAATTAGTTAAAAAAAATAGATAATGAAAAGGGATATGTTGAAAATTTCAATCAAATTAGTTCACTCTAAGTCGAGATATCGGTGATACAATAATAGTGTAGCCTTGATTGTCATTGCTACCATTGTTGCAAAGTCTTGATTATCCACTTTTACGTTAAATCAACAGCAAAACGTATTTAAATCTAAATATCAGAGTCATCAGATGACATCCCATCGAGAGTTGATTATGGTCTTTGTAAATTAATGTCTAATAAATAATTTATATAACATTTAAGGCCTAAAGAAAGATCTGCAATAGGCAGATTTACCTCTTGCATAATGTCTGTTTAAATAGGGTCAAATTTGTAAATAGCGTCACAGGTCATAAAATTGTTTGAGGGGGAAAGTATATATATGCAGAATATGTGGTTAACTGATGGATTGGAGTATTTCCTATAAGTCAATGCATGATTGAGCTATAATCTGTAGGAAGAGCTAGTTAAAGGCTCAATACCACTCTTGTTGTAACTGAATAATATGTCCCAATCTTTATTCTGGTCAACAAATTGTACTATTTTAGAATATTTCAATTAATTGATGATACAAATTTCATCTTAACACACCTTATTTAAAATTTTTGAAAAATTCAACACAATGGTTTGAAACGTCTAAAGTAAACCTTTTCAAATGAAACTTCGATTTAAAAATATTTTCTAACCCTCTGGACAAGTAAAATAGGATGTAATGAATAATTTACACAACACATAGGACACTTATTTATTTTCTAGAGCTTTCAAACCGGCAAGAGTGTTATTGTCCCTTTAACATGTAGATAACTGATGCTATTTCACGTGGTAGTCAAAGGGAGATAATTTAGACTGGAATTGTTAGACTATTTAAGTAATACTAGTTAAGTGGGTACTAGTCATTTAAAACTAAAATAGGTCCCTATATCAGCTGGGAAACATTTCATGGTGTGGAGTTAGGTGTTCTTTTTTATCTCCGAAAGGGTACAATATTCATCTTCTGGCATTCATACTAATAGTAAATGCTGGGGGATTGCACCACACACAATAACCCAAAACAAATCTACGGACAAGATACAATACGCAGAAATCACAAACAAACGTATATATCAATATTCTTTTAATGCTACACTCAATGAAAAATTAATTTACCTCTTCTGATTTTCGGGTCTGTCCGTCCGAAGTTATTTTTGGGGTATAATTTGAGGATACGAATACATGGGTTATTGTATGAATTGTTTATCCGATACAAATACATAGGTTAATGATTCTATTTTATATCCAATATAGTTTCGATAATCCCCTCCAGAGTTTCAAAATCTTGTTGGCCCTTGATAGGCTGCTATATCGTTCGATAGTAAGTTCAAGAGTTATTTCCCTTCATTACAAAATCTTCTTGGCACCTTAGAGGTTTTAGTTACGATTTAATTTGTCATGTGACCGAAAGACCCAACTTGAAATATTTATCACCATCAGTCATGGCAACCCTCAATTTGGAAAAGCTAAGGATTTGTGTCACAGGGTGGGGTCTTAATTTTTTGCCATGAATTCCCGACTCATATGACAAACTGGGAAATTGAACAGGTCTTGGGACTCCACACGGTACTCAAGGTCCTGCAACTTGTTCCCACTTCTGGATCTGACCTTTATGAAATATGTTGGAGTTGTTTAGCTCGTAACTGAGAGAGAGAAAAGAGATTTAACATCCACTCAACACAAACTAGGTAATTTTGGGACTAACACGTGGTTCAATTTTATTTCAATAATTTACTGGCACGTAGGAGTCTTTAGCAGTGGGAGGAAACCCACAAGGTTGGACAGGCGACCCCTCTTCTCATCACATACAACCGAGGAATCGAAACCACGTCAGTTGACTAAATGACAGACCTTATGATACAGTATACACATGCTAACCATTCGGCCCTGGTGTTTAACATCCTACTGTTCGCCAATAAAGATGGGCATATGCCATACAGGCAACAAGGGGAATTTTGCCTGGGCAGCGGCACTATGGCCCACCCTTATATCGAATTCCAACTGCCAAGGGATCTTTTATGTGCATGCCAATGTATACTCCGGACCTCTATTTTTCGTATCATCGAAAAAACTAGACAGTTGTCCTTGTCAGTCCCTCTGTTCTGCACCACTGACAAGGGAAACTATGTCGATAAAACCGGATGAACTTCTCGGCCAATGCAGAGATATAAAACATATATGTCTGGAAGATATGATGGTATCAGAAAGTTCTGGCATCTTGTCTACTTAAACCATATTTTTATATGGTTAAACCATAAATATGGTTCAAGTAGACAAGATGCCAGAACTTATTAAAATATGGTAGCGGCCAGTATTCTTGTGTCAAAATGGAGTACATAAAGCAAAAAATACCTATGTAAAAATAATTTATTTTCTGGTGGATTGAGATATACAAAACTGAAATCACTCGCACATTTATAGCTACATAAATAATCCAATATCAACATATTCTATTCTTCTCAAATTGAGATCCATGGTTCAAAAAATGCATGGTGCTATTTCTCTAAATCATTCTGACTATATCATAATTTAATGTCTTTATGTATAAAACATGTATATGGCCCATCATTTCCACATGATGAAAAGTTGGAGAGATATTTTGTCATTAATTCATTATCACTGAAACACCGGTGTCTGTGATTCTCCTAAAATGGAGAATGGTGACATCAAAAAAATAGAGATAATGCGACTTGATGATCGGGATTCCCTAAAACAAATATGCGGGAAATAAAGGAATACCAATCATCAAGTCACATTATTCCTATTTTTTTGCCATTTTACGAGAATCACAGACATCGACTGAAACATCATTGCTAGGTTTCAGTGATAAAAAGCACTTCACTGATACATCTAGTAGTGAGTCCGAGTGTATTATTGTGTATGAAACAATGTCTAGTTAATGTTTCAATGATCATGATGATTCATGAATATTAAACAATTTGGCTACTTCATATAAATCTTCGTTTTCAGCTCCATCTCTTATCACCTGAAAAATAAATAAATATTCATTCGTATTTATTAAACATACATTATACAAGAGGTAAATCTGCTTATTGCCTGTCTTTATATAAACTATTAATTTGACATTTATTAACATGAAACAAGCTTAATCAACTCGCGATGCCATCTTATATGTCAGATTTTCACTGAATTTTAATCCGATCTGCTGCTCAACGCTCATCGGTGATTAAATCCAAAAATGGATAATCGAGACTATGTTTTTTATCATTACGACTTCAGTAATAAGCATATTCCCTCTACATTATCTAGTTATTAATTATTATAGCGAGAATTGCCAGCTTTTTATCTAATCTCCCATAATGCCCCTTTAAAGATATATTTATTTGACAATTGGCATCGTTAGAAACTTGATAGAAATGAGCATCTAATTATCAATAACAGATATTTTCATTATTAAACATTGTCATGGTAATGATGTAATGAAAATATACACCAAGATTCATCACTATCACTTAATTAGAAATACAGTTATCAGGTTCAAAAGCATCAATAAATCAAATCGCTTATCCCAGCTTACCCTAAGCAGAAGATGCTCATCACCTGATGAACATCTACCTCAATTATAAGCAGAGCTATTGTTCTTCAAAAGGTATAATAGACAGACAGCTGGACAGACAGAAATATTGACGGACAAAACCATTCTAATACTCACCTCTTTCCTACGAAAAGTTGGGGATAAAAAAGTTATCATAAAAATCAACAGTAGACAGTACATTAGTAAAATTACTCACCTTTCTAGCTATTGGCATTTTGTTGAAAACATTCCATAAAACTATACCTACAACAACATTATCCTTAACATAGAAAATAACACCTTTACCATAATCTTCACCTTCTTTAGGTGATGAAGGTGTTACCTGGGATGGTGGTGATGGAACGGCTTCCTAAACACAAATAAATAAATTCATTAGTTATTTCTCTAGAACAATTTGAAATTTGTACCAACACTGGTTCCACTTTAACTCATTTCATAATGGAAAATAATATTGTAAATTTGCAGTGATGCAGATAGGATTTTGATTAATGCGTGAAAAGAAATGAAATGGGGTTTAACATCCTACTTTTCTGCTTCGACTGGGCTAATATAGACGGGCATATGCCATACAGAGTGCTATGAGGGAAATTTTGCCCAGCAGCGTCACTATGGTCTCTTATATCAAATTCCAAATGCCAAGGGATCTTTTACATGCATGCCAATGTATACACGGGGCCCTTGTCTTTTTTTTTTGTCCCTTCCGACAGCTGTCCTTGAACTTTCTTGGCCAATGCTGGGATTGCACACGTGACCTCCAGGATAGCATCTTAACCACCATGGCTCCCTTTAATTAATGGGAACTCAAAATTGAGAAACATTTTAATATATTGCACGGCTTAACATTGAAGCAATGGTAAACAAAACAGAATTTTAGTAGAAATATTTTCTTATTTTTAACGGCTACCATTAACATCAATGATGTGTAATTATTTCTATTATCAGAGAGTGAAAGGTATACCTGTTCTGTTTCCGAACGTATTCCTTCTCCTGTAGCTTCTACTACAGCCTTTGGTGTATCTTGAGGGGTTGCCTTGGCAAAAACCCCAACAGTTGGTAGACTAGAATCTACAATACCAATAGCTTCATAACCTACATTAGGACCCAGATCAGACCTAGAAATATAGAATTGTATTATAGTAAATATTCTCACCTAGTTATCGCTCAACTCCTTGAAAACCAAATGAAATGAAATGGGGTTAAACGTCTTACTGTTCTGCTCCTAACCTGGTCTAATGAAGACGTATATAAGCCATACAGTGTGCTATGAGGGAAATTTTGCCCGGGCAGAGGCACTATGGCCTACACTTATATCAAATTCCAACTACCAAGGGATCTTTTACGTGCATGCCACTGTATACAGGGGACCTAGGTGTTTTGTCCCATCCAAACGACTAGACAACTGTCCTTGTCAGGCCCTCCTTCCTGCACTGCACTGACAAGAGGAAACCACATCGGAAAATCCAGATGAACTTTCTCGGCCAATGCAGGGATCGAACACACAACCTACAGGCTAGTGAGCCAACTTCTTGCCCACTTAACCACAGTGGCTCCCCCTTGAAAACCATGACATGCTATATTTCACAGTAAATCTTAAATATCTATATCTATATCTATATAAATATCTATATAAATATCTATATCTATATAAATATCTATATCTATATATCTATATCTATATATGTATATCTATATAAATATCTATATCTATATCATCTATATCTATATCATCTATATCTATATAAATATCTATATCTATATAAATATCTATATCTATATATCTATATATCTATATAAATATCTATATCATCTATATCTATATATCTATATAAATATCTATATCTATATCATCTATATCTATATCAATATCTATATAAATATCTATATCTATATAAATATCTATATCATCTATATCTATATATCTATAATCTATATCTATATCATCTATATCTATATCTTGCAATGGATTGGAGAAAAACCGTTGCATATAATTTAATTTGAAATTAACCACCCACCCCCAACGTATAAAGCTGTATGATAAAACTTCATGCTAGGTTCCCACTATCATGATTCGTGCAATGATCGAAATCGTGGAGTAATCGTGGTGATCCTATCAGGTCTTATCAGATATTGCGGTCAGTCGTATTCGTACCAAACATATCTACACTACTAGATTGTGGACTCAATCGGGATCTAGCATTACCAACAAGCTAAGTGCTAATGTCTTCAGAATCATTTAATATTAAACTTGTGTACAATAAAAATAAATTTATTACCAGAACATAGATTGATGCCAGTATGGTTTAGCTGCACCTGTCATATTTTCACCTGCTAATCTACCACTAACTACAGCATGATCGTGATGTTCTACACGACGTCTGCCTAATTTAATATCATAAAAACATGCTGCATCACCCGCCTGTAATACAGATAAAAAGGAATATAAACACATGTTTAATCAGGGAGATTGGGATGGCCTAGTTTCATCAAAAAAGACGAAAAAAAAATCAAATTTAACATCTATACTACAATGCCCATTCACTAACTTTCAGGTGTTAACATGGGCCCTATAATACCGACCAAGGTGTAAATAACGCAACGGCCATCGGCAATTTTATTATATTTTTCAGAAAATCTTCTCAAGTGTCAGTTTTGTCAGCCATCTTTGAACTATCCTGACCGTGCCTCATCGCATGGTACGGCTGGTCACGACCACTGGTTGAACTAAATGTCATTCGCATGCAGATGGTTCGACTATAGTATGAAAATCCGTGCAACCGAAGGTCGCCCTAGAGTCTAACGCTTCGAGCTCTAGCTGGTTGGTTACCTCTGGCTTGCCGTCGTGGTTTCAAACCCTGGTGAGAGCATGTGTGGCTTGGAGATAGGGACGTCTTCTCAACCTCGTGGGTTTCGGGTACTCTGGTTTCCTCCTACAGGAAAGACGCCTGTGAGCTAAGCATAATAGAAAATAAGACAACTTGTCCTCTCCCGCCAGGCTTGAAATTTTTGAAAGATTCATGGTCATCTTGGGTAACTGGAGGTCACTTTGAGATTTCACACAACAGCATATGACATACCAAATAAATGTACTACGTTTTAGTTTTACTCATGTAATAATAATCAGACGATACGATTTTCACAGGAAAAATAAAAACCGTGACCATCAGACACAAACATATCAAAAAGAAAAATTTTTCATGGTCGACACTGGAGTGCTCAGCATCACTGTAGTGTTCTACAAGCCCAAACTAGATCCCAATTATCTGCCGGGGCCTGGATACCTGACCATGACAAAAGCCTGAAATGGAACGAGGCCCGGGCAGGTGGCTTATAGTTTTTAATTCACCAATTTTTCCAAAAGTGTGGACTGACAGAATCAGATTCTAATCTTACCAACACCACTAGGTACCCACATTCAGAAAATTCACCAGTTTTCTTTTACCTTACTATCAAGTAACAGGGCATTTATTTTTTTTTTATTAATTTACGCCAACAAATTATTTTTAAAACATTACTCGGCATACCTCAGGGTCCCCGGAAAAGTATCCCAGCTGCCCCCACCACCCCACAGGCCCTGGCGTCAACTAGGATTAGTTCTTTATATAAATTGTAAATTATTTGTGACTTACCACCCAAAGATTAGATCTAGCTTCTAATTCAGCATTAACACGGAATCCACCACGTACATCATCTAGTTCTAGACCAGATGTTTCAGCTAATTCAACATTTGGTTCCAGACCAACGGCTACTACAACTTGATCAACACTCAACTATAATACAAACACCACAAACACATTCAATATCCATAATACAAACATGTTTAATATCAATAATACACACTTTCAATATCAATAATACAAAATGTGGGTTAACAGAAGCTTGATCATTTTGGGACTAATATACAGTATTCCTCATTTCAAGACATGGATTGCATGTAGATTGCATGTAGATTACATGTAGATTGCATGTAGATTACATGTAGATTGAAGAAAGAGAAGAAACCTGATGTGATTAGACAGACAACCGTTATCATGTTTAAATCTAGAAATGTTTAAATGTACAAGTGGGTGGTGTGTATGTTAACAAGCACTTAACATATCTAGATTGTTTCAACAGTAATATTGCCATTGATTTACACTCAGAGCTACTACATGTAGAAACCTATAGACATCCCATAATGTTAGTCTGTTGTACAATCTAGACCATCAGGATATATAAGTGTGATCAACAGTACATGAGTCTTTTCACAAGAAATAAACGTCTTCACAGCATATAAATTTACTTACCTCTTTACCTGTATCTAAACCTAGCACTATCTTTCTACCTTTAGCTTCTATTGATGTTAATTTACTTGAGGTAAGTACCTCAACACCCTCTATAAACACAAATGCACATTAATATAATTTATTCTAATACTGAGAGAACATCCACTTGACACAAACTAGGTCATTTCGGGACTAACATATGGTTCAATTTCTTTTCTCAATAATTCGCTTGCGCATAGGGGTCTTTAGCAATGGAAGGAAACCAGAGGACCCCGAGAAAACCTACGAGGTTGGACAGGCGACCCTACTCCTTATCCAGTACAAGCAGGGAATCAAAACAACGCCAGTTGACTCAATGACAGACCTTATGATACAGTGTGCACATACTAACCATTTGGCCATCCAGCCCCCCCCCCCCACCCCCTTATACTTAGAACACATGTTTAAAATTTACATTTAGCCATATGATCCATAATGATATTTGTAAAATATGTTATTTTTATAAAACTTCTCTTGAAACCTATATTCAATTTGACAATTATTAAATATGATTTAATTTAACAGCTTTCCAGCATTGTCTACTGGAAAACTCAGAGAAGATACCGTTGCTCGAGCATTTACCATATTTCAAACTCTGACTTTTATAAGGATAAAAAAAATACAGGAATCTCACCTGATTCAATTTTCTTTGTAGTCCAGTTTGAAAGGTATTCTGGTAAAACATGTCCCATATTACCTGTCAAATAAAAAGGTATATAACAATATATATTAATTAATTCCAAGACATTGTCTTGAATCTAACAAAATTTGTCCTTGGTTAATTCAAGCAGACCTTTAGAAAAAGATAAATAAAAAGTGAAGAAATAATTACCTGATTCTGGGAAAACTTGATATACTTTCATTCTGTTAGTACTAGCTGAAATAATAAATCACTACTATTATACCGTCTGTCTCAAACTGGGCTGATGAAGAAGGTCCTCTCAAACAGCAATCTCTCTTTATTTATAGTTTAAATCTAGGCCTTGAATTAGGTACCCTTTGATTTATTATCATACTGGTTGTTTTATTCATTAAATAAAGTTATTATTATTATTATTATAACCTACATCATACTAAATATATTTTATAAAACCAGGACCATGTCTCTTCTACTTCAACTCCCACTACTTCATCGGCAGCCATTTTCAAGATGTTTGTGAACCTATTGATGACTATAGACATCGCCGACAAGCCGAAATTTTACAAATTAAAACTGAATGTTGATAATCAAGACTAGAGTAACGTTTTTCCAGTTTTTTTTATTTTCACTTTCAATATTTTTATAGTCTCGGTGTACCAGTCACAAGATCTTATATATTTTGTGACTGGACGTCAGGGCATTGACTAGTCAGGGTTATATTTACCAGAAAAATATGTATTATTTCTTAGTTATATAGTCCATTATTAACGTGATATGTCGGAAGTAATTTTTCAGGGTATATTGTAGTGCAACTGTTGGCACTTGGCGTCAAATGATATATTGGAATATTGCGGTCTTAAAATTATCGTCAATATAATTTCCAAACCGCGATATATTGAAATTACCGTCAAGCCCTACTGTCAGTAATACAAAATAAACGAAACATATAACTTCCTAGTCAAAACTTGGCTCAGTAATACAGTAGTTGTATTCCAGTGGATTGTGACCTGTGGATAATACTAAGTTATATCTACTGACATCTGACTTACCTCTTTTACCTAAAGCACAAGCTAATTCACTACCTAAAAATCCTCCACCAATAATAGCAACAGACTGAGCTTTCTGGGTCGCTTTATCTAATCTCTTAAAATCATCTATCTACAAAAACAGTTTCAAAATAAATTAATTAAACAAAAAATATTTGGTATTAGCAAAGACATTTCATTTAAAAAGACAACAATCCAGACTGTTTACAAATATTTCCAAAATCATAAACATGTTCTATTTTATTGTAAAGGTTGTTATAATAACTGTATGTATAACATTTAATACACCGTATATAATACACATTCCCTTATAATCCCTAGAATTCAGGAAAACTTTATATTAGGATGTAGGGTGTACAACAAACAGTTAATATTGTAACACCCTGAATCATGCACTGTATAGACATAATCAGCATCATTCAGTTCACAATCAAAGTGATTTGCACATTTAACAGTAATTTTAATGATCCTGTAGTCTATCTCAAATTATTTAACAGTACTATAATTACGGAAATGTAAATTGATCCGATTCTTTTGGCCATCAGACAATTCTTCAACATTCACTGGCCTGGTTGTATGTTCAATATGCAATAATCTAGGAACCATGCACGCTTAAAAATAAGTCATAACTCTATAGATGATGACACAGTTTCAGTAATATGGTGTCATTTGCAATTTTTGAGTCTGGGTTAAAGGGTGTATGGCTCTATTTTTTGGAACCATAAATGGGTGTAAAAGCACATATTAATGTAATATGAATGTGCATAAAATGACTTATGTTAAAATTTTTTAAAACAAATTGTAATTTTTAATCATTTATGTTCGGTGAAATACCCGAACAGTCCAAACTGAGCGACAATCGTTTACCCCTATTTAGCCCATTCTTCACGTTTTTTTTATTATTTTATCATTTGTGAATCAGCCAGTACTATTTACTGCCGCATTGTAATGTAGGATATGTTTTTCTTTGTTCATTGGTTTTGCGCCCTAAACGATATGTGCCTTAAATATTGATATTAGGATCCAACATTTCCATGGCAACATAACAACATCATTGAAATGGACCCATATTGAATTCTAATTTGTGTTAATTTCGAATATTATGGAAAATATTGAGTTAGAGACTTAGCTCCTTTAATCTGTTAGATAAGAGATAATGCTGACCATTGGTACAATAATGATACTATTTCCTTACAGCTAGTCAAACTACATGGTTACTAGAAAACAACTTACAGTTCTAAATAAAATAACTTTATTCTTAACTTCATCCGATGCTTTCTCTATTATCGGTAAACTTCTTGGTCGCCCTCCTGAAAATTTATTTTAATGTCATCAAAAAATCATTCATTAAATGAACAATTGCAATGAATTAAATAAACTATTTCATTACTTAAAAGTCTCAGAATATCAATTGAGAGAGAGAGAGGGTTGAAGGTCCATGACACAAACCAGGTCATTTCGTGACTAACATTTGGTTCAATTTTATTTCAATAATTCGCTTGCGAGTATGGGTCTTTAGCAGTGGGAGGAAACTGGAGGACCCAGAGAAACCCCACGAGGTTGGACAGGCGACCCTACTCCTTGTCACTACAACCAGGGAATGGAAACCACAGGTTGATTTAACGACAGACCTTAAAATACAACGCACATAAGCATTCGGCCATCCAACCCCTTCAGTATTTACAAAGATACAATGAATTCATTCAATTGAGGTTGTTCTATTTACCCTTTTATATGAAAGTTGAACTAAAACCCTGATGTCTCCTTTATCATTTCCTTACCCGTGGCTATCAGACATTTATCATACATATCTTCTCCTTACCTGTGGCTATCAGACATTTATCATACATATCTTCTCCTTACCTGTGGCTATCAGACATTTATCATATGTAATTTCTGTTCGATCATCTAAATAAACTTTTCTTTGTACAGCATCTAATTTCACAACCTAGAAAGACAGAAAGCCATTGTTACATACACAGTTATTTAAACCGGATTCATATTTAAATAACATTTGAGACTAACACATGGTTCTTTTCTTCTACGGTTACATGTTTACTAAATGACAAAGATTCTTATATGAGCATACCAATTGCAATGTGTACATCAGTGACAATGACGAGGAAACATTTTAATTTCATTTTACTTGGCTTTGCAACACTAGGATCTGGAAGAGTTGTTATATAACCTGCGTTCTGGATAGCGTGAGTGATTAGCCAATGAAACCATCTCTTATGGCGACTTCTTGGCGTGTGATGCACGAAACTGTGGGTAAACCACTAGAAACATCAGTGCTGATTGATTAACCAATGTCTGACGTCATAGGTTCAAAAACCATTTGTACGACCTCTGATGCAACCTCCCATTACAACCAGTCAGATCTTCATGTAGTGTAGGCCATCGAAAGTATAAAAAAACGAAATATAGATCTGTATTTTTATCAGATTGGATCAGAGATAATCAACAGAAAGAGAACCACTTACTCTTTTACCAGTTACCACGGCAACACCACCATTTTCCTGATATGGTAATTTCTTTGGTTCAGTATAAAAACTATTAGGCTCAAAAAATAAACTACAACAGAGAGTAGAAACAATAAAGCATATTTCATACACAAATTACAAATACAATAAAAACAAACGCTTTTTCAACGGTGAGGCTGACGTCTCCCGCCTCAATCCTAAAACAAATAGATAACACATTACTTAATTGGACGTTTATCTTTTTCAAAAGTATCGAGCAATCAAACTGATTATCTACACTTAGTCTAAGCAGAAAATGTTCACGATCCAACTCAGTCAGGGTTTTAAAGTACCTGGAAGTGAAACTATACACTAAGTTTCATCACTCTCCATCAGTTAGAATCAAAGTTATCTTGTCTCAAAACATCGACCAATGAAATTCCTTAGCTCTGGTTATTTAGCAGAAAATGTTAATCATTGAACTCAGTCAAGAGATTCACCTAATGATCATCTACACTAAGTTTAAACATTAAATTAAAACCAGAGTTGTTATGTTCCAAAGTCTCGACCAAACAAATTGCTTATCACTACTTAGCCTAAGCAGAAAATTCTTATCATCAAACTTAGTCAAGGTATTGATGTAATGAAAAAAAAACCTCAATTTGCATCAAAGTCATTGATCTCTAAAGTTTCAACCAATCAAATTGCTTATCGCTTTGCTAACCCTGAGCAAAAAATGTTCATTATCGAACTTAGTCAAGGTATTGATGTAATGAAACTATACACCAAGTTTTATCACTCTCACTTAATTAGTTGTCTTCATTAGCCCAGTTTAGAAGCAGAACAGTAGGACGTTAAACCCCATTTCATTTCAATTCACTTAATTAGAACTAAAGTTATTGTGTACCAAAGTATCAACCAAAATATGTGCAGGTAAAATTCACCACTGTACTTTGTAGTTAAGTAGCAAAGCTCGTTTACTCGACACAGCTTCATAAACAGTATAATATATATCAAAGTAGATTAAGAACAAGTACTTCTATGTTTACGGTTGATAAATACATAAACAAAAAATAGGTCTAGGTAAAAAATTCACCACTTTATTTCGTAGTACAGTGGTGTAATGGCACATGACAAGATATCTTTAGTAATAATATATATTACCTTCTTTCTTTACCATTCCATTGTTTAAATTTTAAATTTTCTACGGCTGCTTTATCATCACTGAACCATAGTTCTTTAGATAAAGGTGGTCTCATATACGGAATGTTGTCTTCACCACCAATAACTAAAACCTATAAAACAATATTATCATTTTCGTGATTCAATCAATTTGACTAAAACTGCACAAAAATCCTATCGGTAATCATAGACAGACCAAAGACAGAAAAATATTTTAATCCACCATAAGTAGATGTAACATTAAAAATCAAAATAATCAAAAATATTTAAACAAAACATCTATCTATAGTTCTGGGCAGGGTTTAACTGGACAAAGATTCTAAATTCTGAAAATTAAACTTGTGATAAACATACCTTGGCAGTAGGATCTAATGACTTGATTGCTCTAAAAGCACCAAAAGATGCTGTTCCAGCACCAATAAGAAGATAAGGTACATGTGGAGGAATATCTGGTACTGTACTCCAGTCCATAGCTGCTATTTTAGCTGCTGCCTCTATTTTTTCTGGATCGGTTTCTAAAATATTTAATCAAAATCAAAATTACAAAAAAATCTTATCTTAAATTCAATCTTTAACATTCTTATGTTAAATTATTATCAAACTTGAATAAAATCGAATCAGACGAAAAATCATATTTTGTCCTTCCTTAATTCTTTAATGCTTATTTCAGGCATTCACGTGAATAAATTCCTGGAGAGTCAAAAAAAGCTCTCCTGACTTCGAGGCGAGCGATAAAAAGCACACCTCGACTGACATCCAGATGTGTCCAGGAGAGCGATCACGATCACGATCCTTTTATGTGAAGGCCTGCTATGTATACGGTACATGAACACTGTTATGGAGGATTAAACAATATCCTCTGCTTTACAAGGTTAACCATAAAAGAGTAGGGGAGTCACAGTGGCTAAGAGGGTGACACACTGGCTCTCTAACATTCGGTCTCGAAACCTTAAAGTGCACATAAGATGGGTCTGGAAACTTTGAGATACGTGTAGCCAATGGTTACTATATCCACTTTACGGCAAGTTCACACCAATCTGATTGAAATTAATTCAGCTATCTTCACTCAAAGTCGCAAAAATAGACCTCCCGTAAAAACAACTTTGCCAATTATCGAAAACACTCTTAATCCCTTCAGACGCCAGTGACGTCACAGTGACCGAATGCATATATATTCGGAATGTTTATTCCTTAATTACCTATATACAGCTGGCGTATGTATTCATTAACGCTTGACTGACTCCTTAATGCCCTAATTAAATAAAACAATTGACTGCGGAATAATTTGTTTTGTAATTTATTTTAATTTAAGATCCTATTTAGAATTTGTTTTATAATGTTCCGCCCTCTCTTCTCACGACACCGATTTTAAAACTGTGTTTTAAAGTGACTTTTTGATAAGAGCGACTCTACCATCGTGTGCAGTCCAAACGATTCGAAATATATTTCCGTCAGAAGAGTATTGTGGTTCTAATTTCCCGAGTAAAAGAGTACAGAAGTAAAACATGTGGTCATGCAAAATGAATCATTAAAGTCAAACATGACTGAAATGTGATTTTTTAATGACGATCCATAGCTCGATTTCCTGTAGTCATCGTACGGCGTCTTTCTTTCTGCATGTGGATTTGACTTCATTACTCTGAAATCGACCGTAAAAATGAAATACGAAAAAATATCTCAATATTATACGTTAGAATTAAGAGATTGAGAATGGTCATCTAACTATCTTTGTGTATTGATAAAGTGTACTGTCGTTAATATCTATCATTAATCAATCCGACTAAGTTGCAGACATGGGGCCATAAATTAATTTACATAACGATGTAGATAATGATTAGCGTTGCACACACATGGGGTTATAAATTAATTTACAAGTAAAGATGTTGGATTAAGAATGCTGATTAGGTTATTATTAGCCCGCCAGATCAAAGACATCACTCTAGGTAGAACGTGTTAAAACTCCACGAACGAACGACACAAGTTACGGGGGAACTTTGCTGCAAAAATTTCTCCACACCACAACTAATCGTTGAATCGTACATTACTCATCAGTTGTTTATAATTATTTTTTACCCAATAATCAATTAATAATAATAATATCTTTATTTCGAAAGGGTGAACAAACTAGGTCCGATATGTATGGACCTTTCTGACACGTTGTGCCCTTTAGATTTGTTCACCGATGTTTTTGTAATAAAGTAGCCTCGTATTATTTGTTGATTGGCGTTTAGACAATATTTAATGGACTTGATACGAAATCTGAATATAAATTATTCGATAGATAAACGTTTGTGATAAGATTAGGTTATTGTCTAACATCGTTTAACTTCTTTATAAAAAAAGTATTTAACAATTACATTCACACTTTAATAGCTCACCAAACGTCATCAGGAACGTCAGTTACGATGAGCACGTGTATTTGATATTCATGTCCATGAATCCCATGCAATTGTCGCTCCAAAATTTAACGTCAGTTACTACGGCCGTAGTATGCATGGCACCGTACACGGTAATAAGATTCCCAGCGTTGATTGGCTGAGAAATGAGGGCGATCTATTGTTATGCATAGTCATTGAACAATTAAATATTCGCCGTGAATTTCAAATGGAGTTACGATATAAGTTGTTTGTGTATAGAAATGGTTATTATAATTATATATAGCCAATAATGAATATAACGACAAATTACTGGCACTATTTGTATTTCTGTGCTTATATAGAGATAGTTTGGGAAATCAAATATTATCCAAATTACCGGTAAATGGGCTAATTGCTTGGGTCGTCTTCATCTGTCACGTGACCTTTTTAAACAAAGGACGCTTAAATTGGTCTACGGCATGATAAAGCATTTTAAATTCAATCGAAAATACTCCAATCACAAAATGTCTAATCTATAGCAGTACAAGACGATAATTCGGTGATTATGATTAGGCCAGTCACGTGTTAATTGGACCGTGATGTGTATATCAGAGATATACTGTACAGGTAGTGATATATTGTGTATAGATAATGTATATACTATGTGTAGTGCCTGTGACGTCACCAGCGAATCAACCGGATTAAGGTCGTAATTGAAAAATTGAAAAGCGTTTTTGCGTGACGGATACTAAGACGTTAATAGCCGAATTAATTTTAATCAGATAGGCGTGAGCTTGCCGTAAAGTGGATATAGTAACTATTGGTTACACGTAGCGAAAAAAATTTTTTGGCCATCTTATGTGGTCTTTAATGTGTCCCCAAAAAATGTTTTACCCATATAACTAAGTACTAAGTGTGCAAGTTGCAGGGAGCCACAGTGGCTAAGTGGACAAGACACTGGCTTGCTAGCCTGGAGGTCGGGTGTTCGAGAAAGTTCATCATGACTTCTTGACATGGTTTCCCATTGTCAGTGGTGCAGGACGGATGGCCTGACAAGGAGAGCTGTCTAGTCCTTCGGATGGGAACAAAAACTGAGGTCCTGTGTATACATTGGCATGTATGTAAAAGGAATTTGATATAAGAGTAGGCCATAGTACCGCTGCCTGGGCAAACTTTCCATCATAGCAAACTGTAAGACGTATGCCCGTCTTCATTAGTCCAGTTGGAGCCGGACAGTAGGATGTTAACCCAATTTCATTTCATAAAACAGCATAAAAAGATACGAGGGACATTGTAAAAAGAAGAACCAAAAAAAAACAAGTCATCTAAATGCTCAGCAGATAGCAGGACAAGCCAATTAGACACAAAATAGGACAGCTTAGTACATCAGTGTTGACTGGAATAAATCCAACAAAACCCTGATGTTTGATGTGACTATATTGTTACAAAATTCTTACCGACGTTAATTTCAATGGATTTTATGTCAGGTTCTCTATGTAAATATAAAGCCCCAGTTTTCAACATCTGTCAAATAATAAATAAACTTCCATCTAATATTGAACAAGTGCTTTAACATGAAACAACATAAAAATAAACACATAAAAACATTAGTTGGGGTTTTATGATCACTCAACATTAACATTATTAACTAGGTCATTTCGGGACTAACATGTAGTCCTGCACATAGGGGTCCTTCACAGTGGAAGGAAATTGGAGAACCTGTAAAAAACCCTCAAGGTTGCACAGGCAACCCTACTCCTTGTCACATATTATAAACAGGGGAATCGAAACCACTCCAGTTGACTCTATGACAGGCCTTATGATAACTATTCGCCCCCCCACCCCCATCTCTAAAAGGAATATCAGTCCAAAGACAGTTCAATTCTTTTCAGTATTTACAAAGATACGATGAATTGATGGTCTTCTAGCAAATCAGGAATTCAATGATTCAATTGAGGGTGTTCTATTTACCCTTTTATATGAAAGTTGAACTAAAAACCCTGACTGATGTCTCCTCCATCTTCTCCTTACCTATGGCTATCAGACATGTATTGTACGTAATTTCTGTTCGTACAGGTTTAATAAGAGACATGATCTCAAGGACATTAGATCATTCAACCACCCTCATTAGTTTAGTTTGACAGATAATACTTGCTGTCTTTGAATTAAGCCAGATGTGTTTAAACGCATAGCCATGACCATTCATGGTGTTTCATTCACATCAGTTACATAAGTATTCACAGTAAAATAAAAATTTAATTCTTACAGCAAAAATTGTGGCTCCAAAAAAGCCAAGACTTGCAATTAACATCATGTTATTTTTTGAATTTATTTTTTGATAGCTCTCCTGCCAAGATCCTTCGGGTACTTGTATATCATCTAGTGTTATTTTCTGTTCAATAGCTACTTGTCTTTCTGGCTTCCATCCTGACTGCAAGCCTCCCATACATCTAACATTTTGAAGATTTAGTTCTGAAAAAAAAAAAACATGTAGGCCTACGAAATTTAGGTAAGCTGGGGAAAAAAAATTGGAATCTTTGAAAGTTGAGAATCTTCAGTCATTTATTGCTTTGCCTAGCCCAATTACAATCAAATTTTTTTCAAAAATTCCAATTTTGTTTTACATGTTTACCTAAATTTCGTTTCGTCTTACATGGCCGAGTTAAGTAAATTTGTGTGTTACCCTATATTTAGATTTCAATGGCTTCTGCCAAGCCGTTTAGCATGTTGTGTTGCAATTACTGACTCTAGTGAGGTAAGCAAGGTCTTATTTCCTCATTAAAATGTTCCTTTACATTGTTTAGGCTGTCACAAAGACAGACACAGGACCGTTTAGCAGTAAAAAGTTGCACAGGGCCGAGTTTTTTGACAAGGGTTAGATAGGACAGTTCCTGAACGTACAGGGCGAATGTAATGAGGCCTACGTTCAGAGCTAAATTAGGGTATTCCCTGGCGAATACAATGTTTTGAGAAGGATTTGAAGCAAAATTTTGATAGATAAACTCAGTGACCTCGAGGAATGTTGAATGCAGTCGATTGTCAGATCTGTCTAAGCGTTTACAAATAATTGCTTACTCCAGTTAAGAGACACACTACAAATGTTTTTTGCCTAAAGTCCAAAGTCTTCACTTCACTTCACTCTCCAGTGCTTGAACTTTACAACAACCTTACAACCCAGCCACGCCACATTGTCAATGGTCAATGCCATTGCAGTTGCAGTCTTATGATTGCAGCTGATTGCAGCGTTATGATTCTGGTGAAAATGAAACCTTTATTTTGGAATAAAAATAATGATGATATTGATAGATAAACCGGTATTTTCATTTTGTGACCTTCGAGATGGCCGAGCCGAGTTATCACGTTCGAGGTGCACGTGTAAAATGTAAACACTGGCTTATGCAGTATTATGATTTGTGACACTGGTAGATATAACCCCACATTGAAAAACTCACGATTTATATGTTTGGAATTGTATGTTATTGTTGAAAATCCCCTAAATAAAGGGGAAATCTTCCCCAAACTTGCAAAGCGATACATGGTTCCGACCTTCACCCTCGTGTCATTAGATGGTACAATTTCTAACTCTATTTGAAAAGAATAGCCTACAGGTTTACCTCCCTTTACCAAAGTAACCCGTCTTCAGGAGTTAGGGGGAGGGAGAAATGGGGTTTAACGTCCACTCGACATAAACTAGGTCATTTCGGGACTCACATATGGTTCAATTTTATTTCAATAATTCGCTTGCGCGTAGGCGTCTTTAGCAGTGTTAGGAAACCGGAGGACCCGGAGAAAACCCACGTGTTTTTAAAAATGAAATGAAATGAATGGGGTTTAACGTCCTCCGAACTGGGCTAATGAAGACAGGCATAGACTGCGCCATACAGTGTGCTAATAGGGAAATTTTGCCCGGACAGCGCGCATTACGGCCTACTATATCGAATTCCAACTGTCAAGAGATCTTTTAATTGCACGCCGATACACGGGACCTCGGGTTTTCGTCCCTTCCGAACGACTAGACAGCTGTCCTCCCCGTCCTGCGTCAATGACAAGGGTGAACCACGCCGGAAAATCGAGATGAACATTCTCGTCAAATGCAAGGATCGAACACCCGACCTCCAGGCTAGCGAGCCAGCGCCTGACCCACTTGGGCACCCTTAACCCCTCCCCCAATTTTTTGGTATACTGAAATGGGGGTTAGGCTAACGTCCTACTCGTCTGCTTCAACCGGGATATAATTACGAAGATGGAAAACATTATTTTGGTCCAACAATTATGCAAATCGATCAATTTGACTTGAATTCGACAGGTCATTTAAAACTTAGGCCTACATTGGTTTCTATTGATTTCACACCGCCATATTTAGGCCTATGTTTCTTAGACATTAAATGGGCATTATGGGAGATTAGATAAATAGTTGACAGTTCTCGCTATAATAGTTAAAAAACAGATAAAGTAAATAGAATATGCTGAAAATTTCAGTCAAATTGCTCCATTCTGAACCGAGATTTAACTTTTGAATTTTCGCCTAGCTTCGATCATCATTACTAAAGTCGGTACGATAAAAAAACAAAGTCTAGATTGTCCAATTTATGTTTTCCAATCCGCTAAATATCGCAGGCCGGTGATTGCATCGAGAGTTGATTATGGTCTGAATAAGTTAATTAATGTCTATACTATATAACATTTCATGCCCAAAGGAAGACATGCAATAGGCAGATTTAGCTCTTGCATAATGTATGTTTAAATAAGGTAATAGGTAATAATAATTCTCCTATCTTGTTTTGTGGAAGCAAGCCCATTCCTAATGACAGTTTATACCCGGTACGTAGTAATTAAACAGTAATTGTAGTGACTTTATGTTGTTAAAATACGCGAAACGTAAAACAGTATTGATATAAATGGATTTTCAGGGGTAATCGAGGGGTCTTGCATCAGATCATTAAAGTTTGCCACTGTCAAGTGGTGTGTTTCCAATCCAAGATGTACGTGGGTTTTCTCCGGGCCCCCCGGCTTCATTCCACTGCTACAGGCCCTTACGTACAAGCGAATTATTGAAATAATATTATGTACTATATTATGCTATTCTCTCTCCTGACGTATAATAATGTACACAATTTGCATAATAAAAATCAGGTCAAAGGACAATAAATCAGTTTTAGTTACGATGATAATAATAATATTAAAACCATAATCTTATTATTATTTGTCATTTCAATCTAACTATTTATAACCTGACTTTATAAATAACAATCGATCAGGGAGATTAACTAATCTTTACTCTTTCTTCACTCTAGTTGTACTTGTATTTATTCAGGTAGTATTGGTCGGATTATCAGATTAACACTAAATCCCCATGCTAATGAGATAATCGCAGTGTAAACAAATACGGGAGCATTTTGCGTCCTTGGTCACCGAAGTTTAAAGCTGAACGTGGCTTCTTCCGATCGCAATTTAGTATTTGACACCCAAAATATCACGTCTGATCTTGCGAGTTTCAAATTTGGTTTGAACAAAAATATATGTCTTTGAATCATCATTTCTGTTGTGGTACTCGTTGAGAAAGGATAGTGTTGAACCAATGTGTGATATTGTTATCATGGAAATGTCTTAAAGTCGGAGTAGCCGTTTAAAACGTAGCTAACTGCAATGGACTCACGTTATAGTTTTTCGGTCACTCAATGCTGACATTATGGACATTAAGTTATTCATTTTAATTGGAAAGTCTACCATTTGTACGGAAATTAGTGAAATCTAATCGTTATCATTTCTTTATTTATCACTTTTGTGACCGGATTATTTTTGAGAAAAAAACCCCAACAAGATGGAACAGTCTGAAAGAGATGAAGACAATGTTCAAACTGCACGAGGTACAGCTCGAGAGTTTGTCCAATCCGCGCGAACAGACTATAGTCGGGGTACACCAGGGCGAGCTTCTCTGGGTGGGGACGAAATGGTAATGGATTTAGCAGGTTCAAAACCAGTAATGGTCGATAGTTATCTCACTAAAATTAATTCAGTGACCTGTCCGGGTCTTGAGGACAACCATATAGAGACAGAAACCCCGGTGCAAGACATCGCCACCTCCCGAAGCACCGCAAGAAGTTTTGTGACTGATAGAACAACTCCAATGATACCGGACACGAACCGATCTATTTTAAACACCGGACGACAATCCAGGAAATCGAGACTGGGAAATTACGGGTTGAGCATAATAACGTGGGAAGAATTTCTAGAATGCCCTAGTGGTTTCAATGAACTCTTCTACCTGGAACGCGGGGACATGATAACTTTTGACCCCGATGAAGTAAACGTTTTCTTCCACGATTCTTTGATGATGCAGCCGATGTTAGGATCGCCATCAGATAACGGAAAATCATGGTAAGATTTGGTGAGTTTTCATTAAAATGTCAGGATTGCTGCTGCTTAAATAAATTCGTAACATCAAAAAACCGAGGTCCCGTGTATATATTGGAATGCACGTAAAAGATCCCTTGGCAGTTGGAATTCGATATAAGAGTAGGCGATAGTGCCGATGCCCGGGCAAAATTTCTCTCATAGCACACTGTATGGCGTATGCCCGTCTTCATTAGCTCAGTATAGGAGCAGAACAGTAGGACGTTAAACCCCATTTCATTTTATTTCATTTCACGAATCTAACCCGTCTATAGTTCACATGCTTCCCGTGTAGTTGAGATAGAAGCAGGGGTTAAGCAAAGGGGACGCAATCACGCACTTTGCGTCATGGGTTTCGAGATTTTGCACCCTCTATCAAATTATATGGTTTCAGTGCGGTGTTCAACGCTATTCGCATTTTCTAGTCTTCATTATTCCATTGTTCGGGGAGGAGTTGGGTAACCGAATGGTTAACGCGTGCCCGTTATATCATAAGGTCTGCCATTGAGTCAACTGGCGTGGTTTCGATTCCCCGGTTGTACGTGACAACGAGTAGGGTCGCCTGTTCAATCTCGTGGGTTTTTCTCCGGGTCATCCGGTTTCCTCCCACTGCCACAGACCCCTACGCGCAAGCACATTATTGAATAAAATTGAACCACATTCTAGTCCCGAAATGACCTAGTTTGTATCAAGTGGACGTTAAACCCCATCGCTCTCTCTCTGTTAGACATTAATGCATACGACAAGTCTAAAATCCACTTTCTAGATCATCGGATGGCCGAGATTTAAATGGATGTGAACACCAGCGAGATATTTGCTCGATCTTCTTTAGGTGCAAGATCACACACACATCGACATTTAGCCGACTTAACACACATCGACATTTAGCCGACTCAATATATAAGTATACATTTTTAAGCTTACAATTTAATTTGTATTACAGGACTATTTATATTGAGAGTTTAAGTCATTTAAAACAAGTTAGATTATGGATGTTAGAAAGAGTATCAGTTATAGCTGCGATTATCAACAATAAAAAAGTTACACCTAATCAAGCGAAAACAGGTATGTACTATTCTTACTGGACATGGAGTCACGGTGGCTAAGTGGGTAAGCCACTGTCTCGCTAGCCAGGGCCGTAACTAGCTCAGATCAACGAGGGGACGGGAAGTGTTGTCAGGGGTGCTGTGCGAGCGTGCTTTTTTTGTGTTAGCTTGACGTATTTTAAGATTTCTTATGTTGGGGGGTGCGTAGCTCTAATACGTCGAAGCACACAGCGCTCTCACAATACTTGTTATTCAAGAAGCTTTAATCTATAAGAAACATAAGTACTAATTATTTGACGTCGATCTGGGTTTATTAACGAATGAACATAATTGTTCGTATTTCGTCTCTTATATTTATACCCAGTCGCTATCGCCAACTTAATATCTTAATAATAATTACACTAGAATTATTTGAACATATACATGATAAGGGTTAACCATATAATACAAAATGTGATATAAATTAACATATTTACATTACTGAGACGTAACTCAAATATAGGTACATACTAAATCAATGACTAGGATGCATGTTAAGTAATATTAAATTATTTTAAGATTGTTGTGTAGAAAAGGTAATTAGATAAGACAGTGCGTCCAGATTAGAACGATCAGGGTTCGGAGTAAAGATTAACTTATCCACTTTAAAGCAATTAATCAATTAAGATAAGTAAATACATGTATATCAAAATATGTACTATAACAACACTAACACAGCGCTCTCACAATACTTGTTATTCAAGAAGCTTTAATCTATAAGAAACATAAGTACTAATTATTTGACGTCGATCTGGGTTTATTAACGAATGAACATAATTGTTCGTATTTCGTCTCTTATATTTATACCCAGTCGCTATCGCCAACTTAATATCTTAATAATAATTACACTAGAATTATTTGAACATATACATGATAAGGGTTAACCATATAATACAAAATGTGATATAAATTAACATATTTACATTACTGAGACGTAACTCAAATATAGGTACATACTAAATCAATGACTAGGATGCATGTTAAGTAATATTAAATTATTTTAAGATTGTTGTGTAGAAAAGGTAATTAGATAAGACAGTGCGTCCAGATTAGAACGATCAGGGTTCGGAGTAAAGATTAACTTATCCACTTTAAAGC